TTTCTTCTTGGTTGTTCGTCTTCCTCCAGACGTAGCTCCACTCAATCATTTGATTCTCTTCCGTCTCCTGTCTGCGACGGTTTATCAAGAGCGATTCTCGCCCTGATCAAACCCTCCCGCCTTCGCAAGAAGCTCAGAGACAAATCCCTCCGAAGCGCCATCTTAGAGCAGAAGAACAACGATCCTCCAGTCGTCGTCTCTTCCCGCGGGCCTTCCCATCCTCCAAATCGACTCCGTCACCTTTTCGGTTACGATAGATCATAGACTTCGCATCTAGACGCTTTAGACGTTCAGACCAGCGAGTTTTTTCACCCGACCATACCAACAAACCCACTCCTCCCGATCGACATAATACCATCCGTCATAATGTCTTCCGAGAACGCCCAGTCCGTCAAGGTTTTGGACGAGCTTATGCAGAAGCTCACCATTTCCAAGGAGGCTTCCGACATCAAGGAGTCTTCCAACGCTCTGGCCTCTTTCATGAACGGCCGCATCGAGGACCAGGATGTTCCCACCAAGTAAGTTTTAGTCCCTTTTCCTGATGCATATTCTGCAATCGTCTTTGGGCGGATTCACCTCCGAGCCACCGTGTCCACGGCCTTGGGGGTGATTCTCCAAAAAAAAAAAGAATTCAGAATTTTTTTTTCCGCCCTCGCAATTCACCCCTCGCCCCCCTCCGGGCGGTTATCCTACCGACCCGCTGCGACGCAGGACGGCCGATCCTGGCCACTCAGCGGCGAGCTATTTTCGGTTCACACACAAAAATTTTCTGGAGCATCAGCGCTGACAAGGATTTCCCCGCAGGAGCATCGAGGCCCTGAGGAAGCTGTTCAACAACAAGAAGGACGCTGCCGCCCGTGAGAAGGCTGCCGTTGCCATCACCTCCATCGCCCAGCACGCCGAGGTTTCCGCCCACGTCGAGCCCTTCCTCGTCGCCCTTCTGCCCGATGTCCTTGCCGCCGCTGGCGACAAGATCACCGGTGTCAAGAATGCCGCCACTCAGGCTGCCCTCGCCATCGCTGAGGCTATCAACCCCAACGCTGTCAAGGGTGTCTTCGAGCCTGTCAAGAAGTCTCTTCTTGAGGCCCAGAAGTGGCAGGAGAAGATGGCTGCCCTCGACGTCCTCGAGACCGTCGTCCGCACCGCCCCCGCCCAGGTCGGCTACCGCGTCCCCGACTTGATTCCCGTTGTCTCCGAGTCCATGTGGGACACTAAGAAGGAGGTCAAGGAGCGCGCCTACAAGACCATGGAGCAGATCTGCCAGCTCATTGTCAACCGCGATATCGAGCGCTTCATTCCCGAGCTCATCAAGTGTATCGCCAAGCCTGAGAACGTCCCGAGACTGTTCACTTGCTCGGTGCCACTACCTTCGTCACCGAGGTCCAGGAGCCCACTCTTGCCCTCATGGTTCCCCTTCTTGACCGTGGTCTCGCTGAGCGTGAGACTGCCATCAAGCGTAAGGCCGCCGTCATTGTCGACAACATGTGCAAGCTCGTCGACGACCCCAACATCGTTGCTCCTTTCTTGCCCAAGATGATGCCTGGTCTCCAGAAGAACTACGACAACTTGGCCGACCCCGAGGCTCGTGAGAAGACCAAGCAGGCTCTCGATACCCTCACCCGTGTCGGTAACGTCGTTGACGGCAAGATCCCCGAGGTCCGCCACGACTCCGACTTGGACGTCGTTCTCCCCAAGCTCAAGGACTCCATCCCCTCCAAGCACAAGGCCAAGGTCGAGAAGCTCGACATCGTTCTCCAGTACGCTGCCAACATCGCTGGCCAGCTCATCGACGAGAAGGAGATCGAGTCCATCGTCTGGACTGAGGCCCTCAAGCCTTACATCTCTGTCGTTGTCGGCGAGGAGGATGCCCAGAAGGTCGTTGACGACTTCCGCAAGCGTGCCTCCCCCGGTGCTGCCGAGGAGGCTGAGGTTGACCCTGATGATGAGGAGGGTGAGGACCTTTGCAACTGCACCTTCTCTCTCGCCTACGGTGCCAAGATCCTGCTTAACCAGACTCACCTCCGTCTCAAGCGTGGTCAGCGCTACGGTCTTTGCGGTCCCAACGGTTCCGGCAAGTCCACCCTCATGCGCGCCATCAACAACGAGCAGGTCGAGGGTTTCCCCAAGCAGTCCGAGGTCAAGACCGTCTTCGTCGAGCACGACCTTGACTCCGCTGACACTGAGATGACCACTATCGACTGGACCATGAAGAAGCTCCAGGATGCTGGTGTCGAGACCTCCCAGGCTGATGTCGAGTCCAAGCTCAACGAGTTCGGCTTCACCGACGGCATGGTCAAGGGTGAGATCTCTGCCCTTTCTGGTGGTTGGAAGATGAAGCTCGCTCTGTGCCGTGCCGTCTTCGAGGCCCCCGATATCCTGCTTCTCGACGAGCCCACCAACCACTTGGACGTGAAGAACGTAAAGTGGCTCGAGGATTACCTCATCAACTCCCCCTGCACTTCCATCATCGTCTCCCACGACTCTGCCTTCCTCGACAACGTCTGCCAGCACATTGTCCACTACGAGCGCTTCAAGCTCAAGCGCTACCGTGGTAACCTTAAGGAGTTCGTCAAGAAGAACCCTGCTGCCAAGTCCTACTACGAGCTCAGTGACTCCGAGATGGAATTCACCTTCCCCGAGCCTGGTTTCCTGGAGGGTGTCAAGACCAAGGCCAAGGCCATCCTGCGTGCCAGCAAGATGTCCTTCCAGTACCCCGGTACCAGCAAGCCTCAGATCCAGGACATCTCCTTCCAGTGCTCTCTCGGCTCCCGTATTGCTGTCATTGGTCCCAACGGTGCCGGCAAGTCCACCCTCATCAACGTCCTCACCGGTGAGCTCGTCCCTACCCAGGGTGAGATCTACCAGCACGAGAACATTCGTATCGCCTACATTAAGCAGCACGCTTTCGCTCACATCGATAACCACCTGGACTCGACCCCCTCTGAGTACATCCAGTGGCGTTTCCAGACTGGTGAGGATCGTGAGACGATGGACCGTGCCAACAAGATCATCACCGACGCTGATGAGGAGGCCATGAACAAGATCTTCAAGATCGAGGGTACCCAGCGCCGCATCATTGGCATCAACTCCCGCAGAAAGTTCAAGAACTCCTACGAGTACGAGTGCTCTTTCGCCATCGGTGACAATGTCGGCCAGAAGAACGAGCGCTGGACTCCCATGATGTCCGCTGACAACGTCTGGCTGCCCCGTAACGAGCTTCTGGCTTCTCACCAGAAGATGGTTGCCGAGGTTGACATGAAGGAGGCCCTTGCCTCTGGTCAGTTCCGTCCTCTGGTCCGCAAGGAAATCGAGACCCACTGCGCCAACTTCGGTCTTGACGCCGAGCTGGTTTCTCACTCCCGCATGCGCGGTCTTTCCGGTGGCCAGCGTGTCAAGGTCGTCCTTGCTGCCTGCTCTTGGCAGCGCCCTCACTTGATCGTCCTCGACGAGCCTACCAACTACCTCGACCGTGACTCTCTCGGTGCCCTGTCCAAGGCCCTGAAGAAGTTCGAGGGTGGTGTCATCATCATTACTCACTCTGCCGAGTTCACCAAGAACATCACTGAGGAGGTCTGGGCTGTCATGGACGGCAAGATGACTCCTTCCGGTCACAACTGGGTTCAGGGCCAGGGCTCTGGTCCCCGCCTCAAGGGTGACGATGCCGAGGAGGAGGAGAAGTTCGACGCCATGGGCAACAAGATTGTCAGCACCAAGAAGAAGGTCAAGTTGTCGTCTTCCGAGCTCCGCAAGAAGAAGAAGGGTAAGTCTAGAGTCCCATCCATTACCTGACAATGTCATTGTACAAATTTGCTTACTCAATTCTCCAGACCGCATGGCCCGCCGCAAGCGTGGTGAGGAGGTCTTCTCCGACGAGGACGACATCTAAACGAGTCGCCACGAGATCGCTTTCCTTCCATTTGTCACAAGCCTTACAAAAGTCTTTTTTCGGTAACGCGGGTTGCATGGTACGGGCCTGTTTATGATTTCTTTGACGAGCACCCATGAGATTCCCCTTTGAAATGAAATCGCCGGATGAGGAATGACCATCTCGCTGCGGGATTGGAGGATCCCGCGGGCGAGGAGAGAGGTTCCTGGCGACAGGGAATGAGGGGGTAAGAATAAGAGAGTAGAAAGAGTAAATAGACGGCAATACAAGCCATAGACACTTCAAACCAGTTTCTCAGATGTGATGCTGTGTAGATTGCTCAAGGATCTTCTCGGGGGTATGTATGGATCGGTCGTTGGTGACTATGAGACTGACCTAATGAATCCCCTTGCCGTCAGCTTCCATGTCTGGCCAACCGATCTGCGGCGCACTCGGCATAAAAAGGATCATTGTTTGGCTGGATGATGACTGACCGAGAGGAGCCATCTGGGTGCCCCTTGCTGAACGTTCCTCCCATGTATAATGGCCTTATCAACCGCATATGGCTTTGACTTCGTCCTCGCCTCTGGGTCCATTTCCTTCCATGTTCGAAATCGTGGCAGCCAGCTTTGTTAAAGCTCACCTCGGTCAGGGAGTGCTCATGGTGACACAAAGTCTCCCTGAAGATGGTTCCAGAAGAGTGGATGCACTACTTTGATACATTGGATTGATAGTGTTTGCTCCTCCCTTGTCTACCTCTTGTTCTAAATATTCCATCTCCTGTCAAGGAACATGAAAGCCTTTATGTTGTGGCAAGCAATTCATTCCCTGGAAAGACTGTTTTCATAATTGTTCAAGCGAGCAGCCATATGCTCGGGGCGTGGCATCATGGCCGGGTTGATTAAACACCATAGCCGTAGCGCCTCTCATCTTAGACGTTAAGCGCCGGAGAGACACGCCAACGTAGTCTCGAATGATAATACTCGTCTCTGTCGTTGCTGTTTAGTTGAAGACGTGTCCACCCATCCGTCTCATCAAACCTTCTAGAACCAGAACACGGTGCCATATTACCGAATTGTACCAACTCTGTTGAAACACCACACCCTATTGTCGTCCTTCAAACTGCCAAGCAGCGATGGCAGCAAATGACCCCAAGCTGCCATGGTGGGCTCAACCCTTTTTCCCGGAGTTGGACGCCGAAGGCACCGACTTCCGTGACTATACACCCACTCCGAAACCGAATGCCTTTGATCTCGATCGGCTTTTCTTCGCAGAGCACCTGCAGCTACTACGTTTTGGAGGGCTCCGCGCATACGAGGCCCTCGTCCTACAACAGCTCGAGCCATATACGCCGCGGCTGGTGCTGCCGAGGGGGCTTTCGGGGTACAACAGCAGCGACTCGAGCGAGAACGAAGAGGATACAAACGAAGCATACGAGAACGATGATGATGCTTACATTATCGACGATAAGAAAGGCGGAAGTTCCTTGTTTAATATCTACAAGCCGTCCAACCCCACGTTGGCCTCTTGGGTGGAACGGGACTTTGTGGAAGTGGACGAAACCAAGTGGTTCAAACTCTTTCAGAAGGAGAGATGGGCGAGTTATTTCAACTCGGATCCTAAGCAGTTGTCGGTCGACATCGACAACAAGGAGCACTGGCGCAAGTTGAGCAGGGTCATAGAGATCGCAAACCGAATTCTTAGTGAGGTCTTGGATCAAGAGTGGTGAGTCTCTCTTCCGTACACCAACGCAGCTACGGCACAGTCTGATAGCATTCCTCCGTAGGGTAGCAAGCTTTCTTGACACACGCGCTCGCGATATATGCGAACCCGTCTCTTCTGGGAACGGGTCGCAAACCTGGGCTGACACCGCCATCTACCGCGTTGCCCCTCTCCCTCCCGAGTCCCGCATCAGCAAGGAGCAGGCCCGTAAAGTGCTCGACGACAACGCCCATTACTTCTTCTGGGGGTTCCACATGCCAGACGAGTATCCGGGCGTGACTGGCAGGACTTTGCAGGTCCCGGACAAGAAAAGGACCACGTGGCACTGGATGACGCTGGCCCTGACGTATATGGAGCCGGTGTTCATAGAGAGCACGCCCGAGGATCCAGAAGGGAGGCAGGCTGCAGTTGGGATGGCCAAAACCGTAGGGTTATTACCTCACCCCCGTGAAGACTTTTTCTGATCGTGTCATTGGTTCGCAGATGCTCCATGAATTAGCGGTATGCTACTTTCACCCCTGCGGAGGTCGGACGATGCAAATAAACATCCAACTAAATTGGTACAGCATGCGCTCTCTCGCCGCTTCCACGACATGATGCCTAGGTCTAATTGCTTGCCATGTCATACAAAGGAGCTCGTAAGTTGAACATCCGCGATCTCTCTTTCGACCCTGATCACACTCTAACCCTTGTCGATAACCGCAATCTAGTTCTTCAAGGAGGAGAGGTGGGCGGAAGCAGGCTACTCTCTCGAGAATGCCGTGTTCGGAACCGCCATGAAAAATCACTGGGCAACCTCGGCCGGGCGCCTCCTGTATCTCGGCATGTGCGGGATGAGCCCTCAAACGTGCGAGACTAGCTTGCACTTTAGATACGACAGCTGGTCCCCTGTTAACCCCTTCCTCGACACGCTGCTCGGCATTCCTGCCATCTTTCCCTGCGCCCTGACGACCTCTGACTTCTGGAATATCCACGTCAGGAAGTATGGCTGCTCAAGCCTGCGGTGGTCGTGGGTCTGCGAGGGCAAGTCCAAGAAAATCAATGATGAAACGCAGATGCGGCCCGCGAAGATCATGGAGATACCGTTCAAGTATTCGAGGTACGACGAGCTCAATAGGAGTATGAAGGCTGTGGCGGAGAAGTTGCGGAAAAGACGACTAGACCTGAAAAGACTGCGGCCGTGGTACGCCGAAGAGTACGACGTCTGGTGTGGGACGGTGTATGCCGATACGTCGTTGCGGAATTCACTCATGTCGTTCGTAATAGCGCTCTACGGCCGCTCAATCATGAACGAGGCTACCGCGATTGATTGTGTCGACCAGATGGTGAAGCCGTACAATCGGCTTTCCGACCTGGAGGAAGTCAGCCCTGAGAGCAAGAGACCGTCGAAGCTGTTCTACCAGGCTCTGGGGTTCCTCGGCCAAGCGGCACTGCCCGTAAGGACTAGGCCCATACCGTACGAAGACGATAGTTTTGGCGAGTACCTTGACCGGATGCGTCCAGCCTTGAGGCCCAGCTTCGCTGGCAACGCAGATTTCGCCGACGTGCTGTTCCAATATGGAAAGGCGTCCCTGGAGAACAGAAAGTCCAAGACGCTGTACAAAGCGAGCTCCCCCAGCCACGATAGAGAGTTGTGCATGGGCAACGCTCGTCTTGCTTTCCTGCGTTGGAAAATTCTGGGATACGTTACGGTTTCGCTCGCCAACGACTTCGAGCTCGAGTGGCAGTGGATGAGGCGGCAGCTGGACCAGGCGCCGTTGGACGACGTAGTTTTGGAGTGGACTGGCTTGACATGGCGTTACTTGCGCAACTATGTCGGTCAGCCGGATCATCAGTCATCGAGCTTCTTTCGCCCAGAGCAGAGGCCTGCGCACCACAGTGAAGGCGTCGACGCGGATATCCCAGCATGGGCTATTGCGAGGCCGGTGATCGCCTCGGCCTCGACCCCTGCCCGCTCGGCAGCAGCGAGGCTTCCATTCTACAGCATCGCTGAGGTTGGCGAACACCAGAAACTCAAGAACCCGGTCATATGGGGTTGCTTGTGGAACGGCAAGGAGATGGGGGTTTACGACATCACCGAGATGCTGCCGAACAAAACTTGGGACGGGGCCTTGAGAAACCATATTACTCGGCCAGCCCCAGCCCCCGTTTGTCGAATGCTGCGACCAGACGTGATCGGGGACGATTGTCTCAGGTGGCTTCAAGACCAAGGTCCTGTTGGGTACCTCGTTACACCCCGCAGGAAAGAGGATATCCGAATCAATGATGGGACGCTCGGGAAACCACGATGGGTAACTTTTGCAGAGGATGTGTTTGATGTGACTGGTGAGTTTCGCGATAATCTATCTGGAAAGGGACTTCCTTGGAAATGAGATACTGATGGAATCGGAGTAGAGATCAACTTCAAACCAGAGCTACAGGACCTGGAAACTATCATTACTGAGACCACTAACGGAGATCCCGTCGTCGAGGCCGTCAATAAGGGGTGGCACCCTGATGTCATTCAGGAAGCCCTCCGTCCGTACAAGATCGGCTGGGTATGGAACAAACTCGGCGAAAGACACCATCGTCATCATCGCGTGTTTACAGCGAATGAGGTCAATTGGCACACGACTCGCGAGACGGGTATCTACACCATCATACATGACTGCGTTTATGATTTCACAAGTGAGTCCTGATGGCATCGCTTTGCTATTGAAGACTTGAGAGACTTATATCTGGTTCAAGCTTTCGTCGATTTACATCCCGGTGGGTCGTCTATCATTGAGGAGGTTGCAGGAACCGACGGCACAGACTTGTGGGCTGGTTACCATAGCGACCCCTACTCAGACTTCGGCCTTGATGTCTACAAGGTGTTGGAGGGGTTGCAGATCGGATCCATCGTCCAGGAGCGGGACACCAAAACCGTGTCGCCTAATGAAATCTGCATCCGAGACTATATCTTCAGCAAAGATGGTGAGTTGACAACCACCTCCAACCGCAAGGCACATCGATCAAGCAGTAGAGAAATAAGGAAATGGGTTCCAAATTGGACAAGTGGCATCGCTGATAGATTTTGCGACATCAGAGATCAAAGAAAATGACAGGAGTCTTGATCACCTTGCCGGCTACTGGGGCACAGATGCGACTGCTGAAATGGACAAGAAGGTTATACCCGAGGTATACCGCCAGCTCTGGGAGCGTCTCGATGTCATCACTGCCAAAGTGGTCACCCCGCGCGATCGGCTTCCCTATATGAGCCGAAAGGACCTTGAAGGCATGAACGGTAAAGAAAAACCAGGAGGGTTCAACGAGTCTTATGTGTCCGATGGCAAGTACGTCTATAACCTCACTTGTAAGTCGTCACGGGTCAAGTTTTTGTTGAAATGTCCCCCAGCTTACTTTCCAAAACCAGCGTTGCTGCGATACAGCAGACCCAATCTACTTCTAGAAAGCTTAAAGCTCAAGGCTGGATCTGTTCTTTCCACCAACCTGCCAGTGGAAGACGGCATGAAGCAGTGGCTCTGGAACACAAGCCAACACCGCATCATCGCCTTGTACCGCACCCCCAAGCACACCCATATCACTGCGGAGAAAACCGTAGCTTGGAGGAACTCATACAGACGGACACCAAGCACGAAGCCAAAGGTCGCCCCCGAGCCCGGCTCCTCGGCGGTCAAGGCAAACCAAGCTTCGGCGCCGGCGCCGACGCCATTCACAGTGCGGCCGTTATACCCACTTCGGAAGAAGCAGAAGAGCCAAAGGGACGGCCCAGAAAACCCTTACCCGAAGCTAAGCCAGTTCGAACCGTCAGATGCCGCCGGGGACTTCTCGGCGGAGATGATCCAGGCAACTGCGAAGACTACCTTGGAGCAGATGGGGTTTGCGGTGGGCCCTGAGAAGAGGGTGAGTGGACAGAAGAGGAAGATGGAGGATTGGTAACGGCTTGGTTACAATTGGCAGCAATGAGCAGGACTTTTTGTTGGTTCTAATTGTGTTTACTTGGAGCCTGGTGATATGCAGTCCATGTCAGGCTGGGCGTTCGGGCGTTCGGACTTGGATAATTGTTGCCCGTAGTTTGACTGGATTCACCATTCAAGATAGTAAATGTCGCAAGTTTGAACAGATTAAAAATTGTTTATCGTGGTAAGATGCAGATATAATAGACGATAGTGTATATAAAGGCACCGAGCGAAGAACGCAAAGTCAGTAGCTTGCTACTTTGCTTTTCTTCCTTGGTGGCCGCGCGGATATGAACACTCTCGTGTACTGCATCATCTCCCGCTTTCCTACTATCTGTTACTCTCACGGACGTCCCTCATATGCACGAAACTTTCCAATTCGACTGTTTTTCTTCGTGTAGTATAGCTCATGCTATTCACGTCTTAGCGTTCGCCCCGGGCGACATCATCTGTACGGCCCCACCTATTTAGCAGCGGCCCTGGCTCCTCGGCCGGACTTGCTCGGACATGCCCGGCTTCCTGTAGCAGAACGTGATCCAGCAGATTAAGAATACTGGCCTGATGCTTATGTACCACGAAAAGTTTTGCACAAACAAAATCCAAGTTCTTTTCTAATAATAACCGTTGACGCAGGGAAACTAACTGTTGTGCCGAACAAAGCTTAACGTCTCGCTTATGGCTCGCCCTAGTTTCTAGGGAAGCGGTTCGTATTGTCGCCGGATGCGTAAGTTTTATGGAGGGTGCTCTTGCAAACCAAATGAAACCCGAGTTTACACAACACCATTGTGTAGGTTTTTCCGGAGTCGTTGGAAGTCATTATTGGAAGTCAAGGTTGTGACCACCCTTACATGTTCTTTTGCCTGACCTTATTCATTGACTTTTGTTTCCCTATTGATGAACCTTTAGCATATAAATAATGAGAGAGAAATTGATGCAATTGGAACTGGAAAAATACCTTATTTCGTCTCTTTTGTAAATGATGGAGAAGAGATTGTATCAACAGCGTCATGACAGCAGACCACAAATGCCCGACCGGACACTTTTACCAACTCTTGTTGTTTATCGTCCCAAAGCCCTTCGATACTGTCGTTGTCTCTTTTCTTCTATAATCAGTGTTTTGGTTTCTGCTGTAAGGTTTTTTAAACTTTTACCAACACATTCCTCACAGAAAGACTATCTATCAAAGTGCAACAGACACGTCCGTCCATATGTCCTCCGTCCCCAACCAGGGCTGCGCAAGGCACTATTGCGTGGGTAAGCCGCGGCCCCGGAGAATAGACGGCCTCTCGTGGATGGACCCGGTATATCCCAACATCGACCCGGTGACTCTACACCTGGATGATCCGTCTCCCAGCCAAGTATCTCAGCCACTCCCACACCAGCTCGATGATCTATACATCTCGGAACTGCCGCAGATCAACAAAAAATTTGGCCTGCGTACGCGAGAAGCCGCAGTATTTGCCAAAGCTGATGCCTATACTGCGAAAGACGAGGCGCAGCAGCTGGTTGGAAACGCCATCGACGTGAAAGAGTGGACCTGGTTCCCATTTTGGGCGAGAGACCGCTGAGTGATTGATTTTACTGTACCCGTCAACTGGTCGAATGCATGAACGACAGAGTACTACTGGTGTGCACAAGACCCAGCAGTTTGGGGAGTGCTTCGAAAAGCCATCCAGCTTGCGGAAAACATTCTCAGAATACTCGTAGGAACACTAACGTATCACTCAAACACCTGCAAAGATGTTCATACTAACATTTGTGTATCTTAGATGTTTGTCGGAACCAAAGCTAACAAAGCTACTGCGAAGCGCTCCCGGCGGCGATCCATCTCGAAAGCTCCGAGACGATAGATTCAGTCTGCTAGAGATCAATAGGTCTCTCTCGAACTGAAGGGTCGGGATCGTGGCGAGTAGGCCTGCCGCGTTCACGGACCGGCATTCTGTCCGTACTTTCACGCCAAGGTCGCTCCGCAGGCACGAATTCAGAGAGACAGGCATGTACAATTCGATCGAAAGGAAGGTCTACGATATATACAAGCAAGTTTATCCTGATGCCTACAACAAGAACAATTGGAAAACTGACTTGTTTGAGACTATGCCGAATTACATCCAGGAGGGCTTCAGGTCCTCGTTGAAACCGCCGGACGAAATGCTACCGCACTTTTCAATAAGCACCAACAAGAAAACCATGACCTGATTATCTCAAAGTTGCAAGAGGTTTACAGTGGGAACCTTGTTGAGCAACGGCAGGAGTATCAAGAAGACGACTTCCAGGGTATGGCGAACAAAGGTCTCGTTCTTCCTCACGAGATTAGGCTCGACAGAAACATCTACTCCACTAAAGGTAAAGCAGATATTAGAAAACTTAAACAACTTGGCTGAAGCTTGATCTGCTGACAAGACGATGAATCCAGCACTACAAGACTCAGACGAGTACAATCGGTACGTTGACTTTTTGGAGCAACTTTCGCCGTATCTAGGCACAGACGCGACCCAAGACCTGAAAGCAGAGGATGCCGACCAAGCGCCACTTCTCCATTTTGCTAGATTAAGGGGCTACATCGTGACAGCCATTGAAAGGATTGGGCAAGGCCTCCCCGAGATTGAGCTTGAAGAGCTCCAAACGTTCGACGGGCAGGCTGATGAGATTAACAACTTGCATAACGATTGTTTCGTTGCCTTGGATGAAATGGTCTATGACCTTACCGGTAAGACGTCTGCTCACACGCTTTGGAGATTTACCATTTGTTAATTACAATTGCTCAAGCTGCTATGCAATTTGGTTCACGCAACCCGAACTATGCTACATTTAAGCCTTTTCTGGGAAGTGTCGTTACGGATAAAGAACTCAAGTCCTATTTACTCAACAATTGTGATGGCCTTATTTCTGCCGTTTTGGTGAAGAAGAGACCCGGCGGTGGCGGAGTTCGTATTGTTAATTGGCATGCTAAGAGACAGGCACCGCGTGAGTAACATGACAGTCTATAAGTAATCAAATATTTACTGATAAATATCCATTAGCCCAGTATAAAATGCCCGTATGGGCCCGAAGACCTTCGAAGAAGAATCCACCGGCTGATGATGAGATTGCCCCTTATCCAAGCACTTTCCGACGAGCTCAGAGGGGCCTTCAAGATGGCGAATTCGAGAAGGAAGACATCTTCAGACCCTCGCCATCGCGGAACTATCTCAACAATATGATGAATAAACTCAAGCACGGAGCTCTACACAAGTTGAGGAATAAACGTGGCCGCGATAAAGCCTCTGGGATGATGGCCCAATCGTGCACGTCGACCCGAACATCCCCAAGCATTCAAACCCCGATGCTGGGGCAGTTTAGAAGGCTAAACTCCGAGATTAGGCGTCGAAATGACTGTTGGAGAGTGCAAACAAGAAAAGTTACACCTTTGAATTCCATCCATGAAGACTTGTTGCATGGCGTACATGTGTTACGACCTGAAACTCAGTCAGCAAGCAACATCAAGGACAACCCGAGATATAAGACGTCAGCAGAACAAAGTGTTGCCGCCCAAGATGCAGGTAATCCGGCAATTGGAGAAAGGATGGCATTAGACCAGATCTCAAAAAGAAAATCGCGATTCAAAGTGGGCGAGAGACCAAGTAAGAGGCAGTGGTAGTTCGGAAGTTGTGGTGAAGTTTCGAGGAGCTCGTAACGCTTTGGCTATTTGGAGTGGCTGTGGGTGGGTGGGTGGGAATGGGGTTTTCTTTGCAATCCTCCTCAATTATTGTTGTAAATATTTTACAAAATGGCCCACTACAACAGTTTTGCTGATACTACCCTCATAAAAGAAAAGACAGTCTACTTGCACCATTTTGAAGCACCAACCTCTTGCTGTTTTCAAACACGCTTGAACCATGTGAGCGGGGCATCTGCCCCTTCTAGTCTGACTCCAATGCCTAGATGCGTCACTACTCCGTGGACGTCTATTTTGAACTCTGTAGGCACGCAGAACGAGGGTAATCCAACTTCTCCAGCAACGCTTCCAGCGATGTAGCCACGACCAAGCCAAGAGTTACCTGACATGGGCTCGAGGTAGACTGTGGGTTCCAGGTACGCAAATTCCTCTCCACCAACACCCAGAATTCGGAGCTTGCATTTGTCGATAGAATTCGAGCAGTCCAGGTCGACTTTGAGAGTTCCATACCCAGGATCAAAGAAGTCACCTACATGCTCCGAGATAGGGAGGGTGGGTAAATATGGCGGGTCTGGGAGAGATGGGTATATACGCTCAGCACATGTACGGAGATACTCAAGTTGGTCTTCTTTCTCAGACTGATGACTTTTCGTATGTTAGCTTAATTCAGCATTGGCAAGTTACTGACATCAATCCACTTACTGCTTGTTGAGATTGTATCTCTTGTCTTTGGGTACTCCCAAATGCTCCCACAAAATATGGTGCGCGACGACCTCGGGGACCCTGGTGTCAGAATTTGTAAATACGGCGACGGCAATCTGCTCAGATGGTATCATAATCATAGCGGAGATAAACATGGTGACGGCGCCGGTGTGGAAATACGTCTGGTGGCCCTCAAAAACAGCACCATTCCAGCCAAGCGCGTATGTTATGGGCCCTGTGTAGGGAGCTTTGGACGAGATCACAAAGTTCCGAGGTGTCTTGACTTCCCGATGACCAGCCTTTGAAAGGGGAGCCGACTCGTTCATCATGACGCGAAGATATTTCGCATAGTCCAGGACGGTCGAGATTATGGATCCCGCTCCTTCTTCCCCCGAGGCTGGCTCATGAGGAACCTCAGAGTGCTTCTTATGAATGGGATCGTAAAAGTACTCGCGAGCGAGCACCAAACCGCTGCTCTCGGCATCAGATAGTGAGAAATACGTCTCGTTCATCCCCATTGGTTTCCACAAGTGTTCTCGGAAGAAGTCACCAAGCCATGATCCGGTCAGGACCTCAATGAGATAGCCCATGGCGCCGTACATCTTGTTGTTGTAGAGGAAGGCAGTGCGCGGCTCGGTGGCCATCGGCAGGTGTCTCAGCAGGCGGACCGTCTCACGGGCAGTCTTCGCCGACGCCAGATCGTGACGCGGGTAACCAGTTCTGTGGCTTAGAGCATCCTCGAGGGTGATGTGCGCCGTTGCCCACTCGTCGCTGAGAACGAAGTCATCGCGTAGGACGCTGGACACGGGAGTTTTCCATGTGAGACCGGAGTAGGCGGAGGAATTAGCAGTGGCATTGTCAATGAGAAGTGAGAGACCGGCTGCTGTGAACGACTTGGTAGTGCTGCCGGTGTAGAAAAGAGTATGGGGCGTCATCAGGGTAGAATTAAGAACCGCGTATCCGTAGCCCTATTTAGAAACATTTAGACATTGAATTTGTTTTTGTTATCATATTCCGACTTGATCTACCGATCTGCCACGTTCTTGCATGGCGCGGTCCGCAATTGAACAGGAGTGGTGGTACTTCGCGTAGTCCCATCGCCGCGCCAATTAAGAGAACCGAGTCAGTGTAAATGGAGACTTATCCCATACCTTTGCCCACGTCTTATCCCCATCCACGACGGCAACAGTCAGGCCGGGTGAGTGCCATTCCTGCATGACCTCCTCAATGTACGCGTCAAGGTCCGGTGAGACCACGCGGGGGTAGCCATCCCGCGATTGATCATCGTTTTTGAGGGGTCTTTGCTGTGCATCGTCCGCAGATGTACAACTCCGAAGAAAAAGTACTGCAAACGAAAGCAGTTGGAGATTCATTTCAATCGTCTCTTCGTGCCTAATTAAGGGTTCGGTTTAGGACTGTTGCATGCGCCTCAAAATCGTCCAAGTTTACAGACCGAAGTGAGTCTGACACAAATTAAAGAGGGATTAGAGGGTGACGTAGACTTTTCTGCGTTGGGAACTTTCGTATGCGGCGCCGAGTCGGCTTACTGCGCCGCAGAGACTGGAGAAAAAGATTGAGCCAAGTCCACTATCATTGGGCCATTCGGAAATCAAAAATTTCCATTCTGGGAAGGTGGTTGTGCTTGCACCGGCATGGGTTCTGGTGCTCGTATTTCACGATGCTTTTTGAATTTTTTTTTCAGTTACCACTCCAAGACATGCGCAATTTTAGGACATATGGCAACTTGCTCAAGAAAAAGTGGCAAGTCAAGCATGATCACACCGGTGATGTGTAAAGTAGTACTACGTCAGCACTTGTCAAATCAGCAGTGATAAAGTACCGGGTATTTGGCTGCTTGACAATTTTACTAGATGAAACACACTGGACTCAGTTTCCAACGTCGCTTCCCTGTAACTGCTAGCAGCCACGCTTCCTGGCACTAAATCTGCGGCGAAAAGGTAAGAGGGGTTGTTGAAAGAGGACATGAGCTGTTTAGCGGGTGCTGGTTAACAGGCTTAATCTAGAAGGCCATCCTCCACTTGCATAGAGTGCGCACTGTGGTCAAGAGAGTGAATGCAAAGGAGAGAGCCCCCTCCCGAGCCACCTTTCCTATTTCTGAATTCATCAAAGTTATCAATCTGAGTGAGACTGATGATCATTAGACATATCCTGCAACTTTTCGAGGAAAACCTAAGCTTTTGGCGGCGGCGATCTGCCGTTGATATACTGCCAGAGCCTGCTTTGCTGGTACACCCTTGCTCCTTCGTTATCGAGTCTACGGCTATCTTGATCAGACATCATGCGCGAGGCCATGAAGGATCCGGGCATGGGCTTTCCCTTGCTCTCCTCTTCAACGCTGGTCAAGGATTCGTTGAGAGGCAGGATTCTGTCGAGGTAATGCTGGTTGAGCAGATGACCCGTGACCTCATTCTTGAAGAGGAGTCCGGAGAAGTTGTTCTGTCTTTCATCACGACCAAGAATGTATCCCAGGTCGTAAGAGCGGGCCTCTCTCTCCAGATCTCGAGTCAAATTCGCCTTGGCGACGAGAGACTTGAAGTGGTTGACACCCCATTCGGCTACGAAGTCACCTGAGTTGCCGTAGTGTTCGATGTGGCCGATGATGCCTTCGTCTCCGCTTTCCCTGGGGTTATTGAAGTGGTTGGCTGCGTTTCCAAAGGTGTAGATCTCTATCTTGTTCAACACGTCGCGAGGGTAGTTAGAAAGAAGCCAGTCGAGGATAAGGCTACCCTGGAGACCACCCTGAGAATGAAGAATGATGACGACCTTGTCATTTTTCTCCGTAGGGCTCAACGCAGCGGCAATGACTGAATAACAAGCTCTGGTGTCGGAGGTCCCAAAGTAGAAGCACCTCTCCAAAAGGCATTGGAGTATGTCGAAGACAATGCCAGCTCTGAGAAAAGAACTCGTTAAACCAAGTTCAGATTGATCATGGGTCATACACACATACGTTGGGTTATGGACGCCAACGATGGGGCGGTGGAAAGTCCGTGAAAGCCTGTTGAGGTTGCCTTGCAGCCAATGGGAACTTCACGTTGGTTAGTTAGTACAGCAGCCAATCGGCAAATGCGATGGAGAGCACAAACCCGACGGAGATGCCGTTTTGGAAGAACCACTTTTCTCGGTAGTCCTCGTTTTTGAGGGAATCCCAATGCCTTGCCTCTTCCCAACGGTCGTGCTGGGATGTGAGCATTCCATTCAAGGTTCCAGCGTTGAGCGGGATGCAAACAAGGTAGTTGAGAACGACGAATCCGACAAGGTAGGGCAGTAGGACATTGAAGGGGAGATTGGCAATGAAGGGAAGAGAGCACAGGAATGTCAGCTGCGTGACAATAAGAATCCCATGAGCCCAAGACAGATGAGATTTCCCACTGATGGATAGAGCTCGTCCATCTCCCCAGAAGGAAAAAAGGGATCGACGATTGTTTGGTACTGATGCTGCGCAGCCGTGACTGCCCGCTGGATGAAGCCCCAATTGATGCTTCTCGGCACCCACGCTTGGCTCAATGCAGGGAAGTGTGTACCATCGCGGCGAGGGTACCATAAGGGATCGACTATGAATGCAAGGAGTATGAAGTGTTTAAGAAAGAGGTTCAGATCGTCCCAAAGCAGCTCCCAAGGTGGGGAGACGTGGTACTCTGGCAGGGTAGCTTGGACAGTGGTGGTGTTTTTGGGACCCGATGTATGGGAATCGGGGACCTCGAGCGTGGTGGTAATGCGGTCCTGTTCTTTCTTTACTGACTGGTAGACGGTGACGGGGCCTGCCGAGGTCCTGGAATTCGCCATAATGAGGTTGATGTGACCTATAGCCCACGGCGGTTGTGCAGGTTTGTCTGGTACGAAAGACGTGAAGCTGATTGAAGACTTTTTGAAGATTGCGAAGAATCAAGGGAACAGCGTCAGACTTATAATTTCTGCGACATGCTGTGAGTCGTGTCACGTTTGGTTTTGTGGCGGTCGTTGCTGTCCAACAAAGGCTCACAGTGGAAAGAAGAAAGCATTCCAGCGCACCCCTTGGAACCAGATTTAGGGTCGTGTCTCTCAATCACATGCGCCTGGCTGCTTATACCAGTCTTTTCGTCTTGTGAATCTCACGCCAAAAGCTCGTCCATTGGTCAATGCTCTGTTCAGCTTTTTATCTCAGATATGCAGTGGCGCACCAAATAGGGTTTACGTCAGCGTGGCTCATTATCAGCATCCCTGGGAGAGCTTACTCTTCGTGTCGCGCACGTCCACTGTTTGGCAGGAACTTCGGATATCCGAGAGGAACGTTCCAAAAATGCGTCCCTGAAGAGGAGTTGATGCCCGTTGGTGTCTGACAGGCTGACAGGCTGCATCTCATCATCCCATCAGGTTCGAAATCCCTATTCGTGTCTCGGACATACCCGCATATGCCCAGCAAGGCCGTTCCAGCTCCAATTCAGCTTGACATGTCAGGTGCTGACACAATTGACCTGGTACACACGGGTGTCAAAACGAGCCGTACAGATATACCGCCATACATTGCATCAATGAAAAAGCGTTTGTAGCCTTCTCGCCGTCAATGTTTCTGGATACGCAGGGAACACAAGAAACGTATTGAGTAGCAACACCTAGTGATGCCAATGCCGCTCAAGGGCTCCAATAGACACCCAATTCTGTTGCAGCTCTTCTTGTGCCTCTTTACCATTATTCACAGGGATGGAAAAGTTGTCAAAACAGCATGCTCCATATTACGGTGAACTTGCCTATTGAGAGTTCCTCAAGAGCTCGATTCGAGTCGTCCGGTGCCAGGATTGCGTGCTGTGCGCCGAGACTTCACGGCTGGCAATCACTTAGAACCAAGTAAAGAAAGAGATATTATGCATCGGTCCAATGAAGCCTCTCTAGACAGGAGATAATGACGGGTCGTACCACTACTAAACTCTCGTCAGCTATAGCGTCCGTTTAAGCACATGAGCGGGCCTCTTGTCGACCTCTGACCCTGTAAGATTCACCGACTTATGTTACCCGAGGCCGTATGCTTGACTGTTTGAGTTAAGGGCGGGCAAAACGCACAACTTGAGGGAACAATAAACTGTGACTTCAACAAGGAATCCGCTTTGGAGCGGATACAACATGAATTATAGCCGAAGACATCCAGTACTGAAGGTATTGTTTCATCTGTTAGCCTGACCCGGAAAAACTGTGCACATCTTTCTGCGTCCATTACCGCGGCTACGGACTCACTACCAGCATTGTTACTACACCATTGACTTGCTATCATTGTGCATCTGCTCTTTCATCTCTGCTTCTGCTTTCTTCTGCTCTCGCTCCATCCATACCCTCATTCTCCAGACCGTTACTGTCGTGACAGTTATTGTTAATACACAGTAGACCACGATCCACGGTGAAATTACTTCACGACTGGTCGGCGCAGTCCAATTGAAGAACGACATAGAGAAAATAGACTTGCAGCTTGTTAGTGAGTCAATCCAAATGTGCTTCCTCGCTTCAATAAAGCGAAGATTTGGAGTTCTATAGAGCAGCGAAAAGCCGGTGATACAACTCACAGCAAGGAAGGTCCCGGGCAAAAATATCATCCCAAGCAATGAGATGCTCCTCATCTGACTACCATCCTTTTTCGTGTGGTCAGCTATGATCATAGCAGCCCTTGCGTCTCTTCTTGTGTTGTAGTTTGATTCCTGCATTTTACTTTCATTAGCGATTATTGCAGCTCATTCAGTCTCAAGTCACTTGAACGTATCAGTTCATCTCCATACCATTTGTGCAGCAAGTGCCATTCCTCCCAGTAGGCTATCGCAGCTTCGCACTTTGCTGTCGAGTTCAACGGCCATCTCTCTTAGTCTCATTTCAATCCTTTGTCCTGTCTTTCGCTCCTCTGCGTGTTCATCGCCCATCTGACCACCTTCAAGGGGCGGTTTCAACACAGTTGCAGTCAATTCTTGAGAGTGGCTGATCATCATTTGGAGTTCGGCTTTGAGGCTTTGCATTCCATTTTTCAATGAGCTGAGGTCAACCCATAGCTCTGTTGAATTGCAGTCTTGGACCCGCGACGCGGCTTCTGCTTGTAAAGCCATTTCATTACTGTCGACCTTCTTGTGACTACTCTCACGGACTTCGCCACGGAGCTTGTTTTCTAGACTTAAGATCCGCTGACGCAAGTTGGTGTGCTCAGTATCAAACGCGTTGAGAAGACGCTTGCGCTCTAGTTCGACAAAAACCATAGGCATGATGAGAGGATGGAGAGCCTGGTCCCCACATCTCTTCAGCCAGATCAATGTGTTTTTCATCACATCTTTTGTGCAGCCGTACATCACGGCATACGTTGTCGAGTGGCTCAAGAAAGACGTTACTGACATGGCGATGTCGTTTGGTTTATCAGAAGACGGAGATACGGTGTCTGATTTGCAATTGTACACTGTGCCGACTTCGTTAGGATCTCTGCCCAACGGTAATCAATTGACTTAAATAGACTAGAATGGTCTTTTCCCTCATATGTCTAGAACCTTGGATGATCTTACCGATTGATGGATCCATGTTATGCTCCCAGGTTAGTGGCCGGGCGTTAACAGTGGCTGTGGATTTCCGACTGAGTGCAAATGATAGCGATCTGTGCTGGAACAGCCGCTGGGCTGCTGCTTGGAAAGTTTCCTTTCTGTAAGGCAGAGACATTGCGCCCAAGGGTTCACTAGTTATCTCATCGACTCCGGACAGCCTCGGATGCATCACTAAGATGATGCAAGACTGTTGTGTCTGGTCTACCGATGATTTATCCTGATGCAACACAAGACTTTATTAGCACAGAGCTTGAGGAAATATAGCTTAAAATGAATAATCACGGTACCGAGTTTAGCCAGTTGGCATATTCTTGTTCCGAAGCGTGCTCCAGGAACTCATAACTAAAGCCTGACAGCTATGTTGAATGACATAGTTAGCAACTCTTAACCTTTCGTGGGCGGGGTCCATACTTACGGGAGGTTGGCCACTCTGGAGTCGCACGGTTTGGATCACACCATTCTCTTCTGGATGAAACCTAAATTTTTTCATGTCATTGCGCAAGAACGTTTGCTCTTTACTTAACCACTCCATAGCGGAAGTCTACAACTGAGGACAGCCAGGGCACGCGAGTTGGCCAACACGCATCAAGGGTCTCAGACAGGGTTATAAGTAGACATTGTAACCGAACATGCCCGCCAGCTGTAGGAGTTTTCCTCATGAAATGCACTCGTCGGCAACCCATTCTTTCTTTCCGATATGATATCTACAAATTGCCGTATGCCACCTGTTTCCCCGCCTCAGGTTGCACTGCACACCATATCTTGCTTTCTTGTCAGCACAATGCTGACAGCAGATGCAAGCCACACCAATTGAAGGTAAACCCCACCACGCTGCACTCTTATCGAGTACCACACCAGCCCTGCTTCGGCTGCTGTGATACCGAAATATGCCAAGGAGCTCTCCGATCAAGTGGTTGGTTCTGTGTCGGTCTGTCTACTCTCCCTCTCCCTGCTTGATTAGCACTTGCCTGAAGCACGTCTTGCCAGCGCAGAATCACATGTCTGCCCACTAGAAGTCCAAACCGCAAAGAATGACCGGAATTGGCAACGCCGCTCAGTCTGCCTGCATAACATGGCTGACCACCTCACGGATGCCTTGTCTGCCTCATCACTCAAATGTGCAAGAATTATGGTGGCGGTGCGTTCATATAGCATATAATAGCAATCCATCAGACCGGAGCCTTGCCAAAACAGCTTGTGTGCCTAGGGGACATTTTCTTCCGAGGCCTCTCGTATCAACAACCACCCCTCAAGACTTAAATTCCATATAAGGCCCTTGAGAATCTGTTGCCATGAACTACCATGACAGCCGATCTTGGGTGGTCAAATTCACAGACCGAATACCAGGGCTAAGAAAACGGCACAAAATGGCCAACACCAAAGAATTTCGCCCTAATAATGCTATCGTACATCGATATGCCAAAGCAGAAGTTCTGCAACATGCGCTCATAGACCTTGGATTTGAGAAGAAAGACATCACAATTCGAGTATAACACCCACAAGCGGACTCATGCTATTCAAAACAAGGCATTAACCAAAATCATAGACCAAAGACCAAACTGGATTTCAAATCCAGCTCCCTCGCGTGCTGCAGCCGGTATGTTCTGAAGCATTGCAACTAGGTATCTGCTTACATCTCCAATTCAGAAAGAGACTGCAACTATTCTCAAGGCATTCGTAGCAGCACATCAGCAGGGGGAAGAGGGGGACACAGAAGAGTAGCGGTGATAGATACAATAACCAGCATTCCCGAATCTCACTTCTGTTACCTTGTAGTAAATGAAAAGATTTCATTTGGAAGGGGGGCAACTTAGATCTGTTCATCGTGAAGCAGTTCACAGCAGTAAACTTTAGCGTAAATTCGAATCTGAATATCACCTTTTTCCGTGATATCGTTTACGCGGTTAACGTCTTAATCCCCTCACAGAAAGCCAGGCTTTGTTCACGCGGCCGTCTCTTAGATGAATCATTTGATCTCATATCATCTTAGAAGTTTCCAATGATCTTTTTGTAGAAGCACGCCATAGCTAGCTAGTTCTTTACGCGAGTACATATACAATGTTAGACGGTGTTGGGAAGAAGCCCATGCCACTTCACCCGAACAGCCGACATTTCGATTAACACTTGTAAGGAGATGCCGTTGCAAAGATTAAGAATCGTTCATATCAAAAGCAAATATGCCGTATCATTCAGCTTGCATCCGATGCCGATGCGCCATCTCCAAAACACAGTGTGGTCTCGCTCGAGGCAGTATGAGGATCGAGTGGCTGTTAGCTTTCACTCATCAGCCAGCCTAATCGTCCACAGCTTCAAATAGTCGCGTACTTCATCCGACGTAGCTCGTTTGTTATTGTCAATGACTAGCATCGTTGTCTCAATGTAACTAAGGAACTCTCGGAGAAATTCGGAACACCTCGGATTTTGACGTAAACGTTTGATATGCTGGACATTAGGGTTAGTAGTTGATATTTTAGGCGCAGGCACAAACTGTAGGACCGGTTCATAATAGGCATGGGGATCACTTGCCTGTATAACAGTTTGCTTAATGTCTGCGGCGACTTTTGGCCGTGATTTGCTGAACCATGTCCGTCTGGTTTTCACGACTCGTTTCCTGAAAAAAACATCTTCTTGAATAGGCCGGAACTCGGAATTGCCGATGTGATCATCTTCTTCTTCGATGCGGGATCCAACAAATCGCTCTACGCCGGAGCAACCTGAAACAATCCAGGTAATGAACTCAAGATATAAGCATCCTAAGCACCAAATGTCCCAGCTATGACTGATTTTAGATTTCTTGAAGTCGGCTTCGGGTGGTCGATAACTCTTCGAACCGATGGTCTTTTCAACCTGGATAGTTCCATTAGGGTCAAGGACCAAAGAAAATTCAAAGTCCGTCAGCTTCAAAACCAAGGGAGCCGATGTACTGTCGCATATTTTAAAACAGAGAATGTTTTCCGGTTTGATGTCGTGGTGTAGTTTCGGCCGATGGAAAGACTCCTGCTCTTGCATGAGAGAGATGTAGCCGTGGACCTTGGCCAATGCGTCAGCAATACCAAAGCATTGACCGGCCATCCAACTTTCTGTATACCATGGGACAGCCCTGCCTGGAGTATCCCGAGAACGAGACTTGTCTTCCCACAGTTGCCGTAGGTTTCCCCCTTCAGCCCAGGGTAATACAAGGTAGAATCTATTTCGGTATTCAAATGCTGTGAGAAGCTCAGTGATGTGCGGGTGCGAGACCCGGGCCGTAGTCTCATTTTCAAAAGACTCTTGGGCAACGTCGCAAAATACACTTTTGTCAAGGATCTTTAAACCAAAATACTTGTTGCCGCTTCCCTATATAATCAGGAACTAGCAGTAAGTAGATACCTACGACGTCCATGTACAAGCACTCTGACTTACCAGGTTGTGGTGACCTTCGTGAATACTTATCTTTTGGACAGTCGAAATCTGTACGTCTACATTGTTCCGCAGAGTTTCAGCTTCTGTCCAGGGTAGGCTTACCTCTTGGTCAAGCAGCTGGTGATTATCGAATGATGGATCTCGTATTTTGAAGTAAGGAGATTTCATCTGCCATTGTAGATGGTAGAACAAATCTTTCTCATGCGCTTCCCATTCTTCCATTATCTTCGCAAAGATTATCGCACGCAACTCATCGGCCTTAACCTGCCTCGCGGATATTGTGCTGTCGCATATTTGAGGTGACGATTTCTGGAAATCGACAATATGTTTTTCTTTCGTCAACAACACAAGTGTTACGAAAAGTACTATCTGACCAGTGCACAAGTCGTCTTTGCAGCATCGGCATAACCCTCCTCGTGGGCTGATTTGGCCAGCAATATCATCAATGGGTAAATCGGAAGCCTTAAAGAAACCGAAAGTCTCCACTAGGTTCCGTATCTTATCGTAGTTAAAGTCATTCCTCAATTGGCTCAAAGGAATGAAGCGATTGCGGCTGTCGTTTACGTCCGGCTGCGATGCTCGCAGGAGAATTTGCGCAACTTCGTTTCGGGCATCACTGATACGATGCTGGCATCGCAATGAAGTGCATTGGCATTCGCCTTCAAGCTGATTTGCTTGATTCTGCATGTATGACGTTAGTAGACGACTCCTGGGCGCCGCAGCCATCGAAGGATATTGAATGGAGATAATCAAAGAGGGGGTCGAGGTGACGAAATGTCCGTTTCGGCAATTACAGCCGCTACGAGTAAGCATGCAAGCATTCACTGTTGTGGAACGATGCCCGCCTTGCAAACACAGCGACTTGCGAAAGAACCATGCATGTGTGAAAAGAGTACAACTCACCATGGAAGGCAGCTTTTATGTCTGCTACTTGAGAAACCGTAATTGGTTTCGCAGAAACCAACCAATTCGTAGACCGAGTTATGGGCGAGAGCTTTGTGATTTGTATGGAGTAGATCCTCAACAGTGCCCCAAAATCCAGTCTGGGCTGGGCGTCTGGAGACCAGGCTGAGTAGCGAGAGTTGATGAAATATTTCGTGACCTTGGTGTCGCCATGAAACGGAGGGCGGCTAGGGCTATCAGTGGTTCGCGGCTTTATTTTCAAGTTCAGCCAAAACCGCCTGGTTGCGAAGCTCGGTAAAGGTACCCCTAACAGATGTTGTTTTTACCTTGCAGTCAGCCAGAGGTCCGTAATCCATGCGCACCACTTTGTTCACGGTGGCGGGGGCTGTGCCAACTGACCATTTGCTGCAGGCAGACTATCATATACCATTCCATCCAAAATCCAACCCTCAGCCTGCTTCACCACACCATCTCCAGTAGAATCAGGTTTCGTCCGTCACCCCGAGAACAATCAGAGTCCCCTCATTCCCTCGGCAAAAAGCGTCTTCAGCACGGGCGCGGCCCACCACCATGCCACATCCTTGAGGGCGGTTGCATTTTGTGGTTTTCATCAGCAGATCACTGACACCGAATGAAGATGAAGATGGTGTGCATGTGGACCTTGAGCGTATGAGAAAGGGAAATCAGGTCCAACGTATTACTTGCAGAAGTGAGTTTGTCACTCTTCACTGCGACAAGATAAGGATCATTGCCAATTAAGTCTCGCTTGGAAATTGCGTCTGACGTTGTTCCGTTCTGGGATTGCCCCCAATTTTTACTTAACGGGCTGCTGTGCCGCTGGACCCCAGCTCCCCCATGTCAAACATAGACACCACTTCCTCTTCAACACCCTCTTCATTTGTTCGCTTACTACAATCCTTCCCGTTCTTGCCAACACGAACAATGAACTATCTTTCGTCAATGTTCAGATCGAAAGAATATCGTTATCCGCCAAGGCGTGATAGCGGGTCTACAAATTCTCAAACTTCGAGTCGCCAGAGCACCGGCTTCACATCGTCAACAATGTCAGCATCGGGGAGCAATTCCAGGTATCCTATCGTACAGGAGATTTCAGGGCGTTACATCGATAAGAGAAAGCTACAGCAACTCCTGAAAGAAGAGTTTGGTAATGATTATCAACTGCAGGTGTGTTTGTGCCTAGTAAATAAGACGAGAACCCAAACAGAGCGCATACCAATCAAACGTCTGTCCTGACACATCTGTCACCTTTTAGTTGCGGTCGGACAATTACCGATTACGTGCTGGGCGACATTTGAGTCAAGAAAAAATTCTGACATGCTTTTAAAGATTTGAAGGCTGTTTATGTCACCTGGCGTTCGTGATTCGGCTGCGTGATTTTATTCTAAGTTCTATATTTTTTCATATTCCTTTTATCAGAGTCCCTTCCGCCGACCCCCGTCTTTTCCCCCAATGGCGTTGTAACATCACCACGTTCGCTCGGGACTCGATTTCTGGACTTTTTTGCAGGACATATCGGACCATACAAGGATGAGCAGAGATTAGTCGCGTGGATATGTTATGTTCAGTATTTTGTGTCTCACTCACTTGTTTGTTTTACTGGCTTTTTGGCCGCGCTACATGTAAGTGTTGGTCAGAGGGAATACAGCTGCCAACACCATACGAGGCTTTAATCTTAGTAAACCCAGACCGAACCTCCACCGCTGAAAATTGGGCCATCGTCTTGATGTCCCGATGTCCCCGACGCATTTGTAGGCTCTGAAACCTCGGTTTTGATTCTTGGGTACAGTAAACTATGATCGCACATTTATGGCTTCAGCATGAGGAATGAAGGCCGAAATAACACAGCAATTTCCCCAGTTGAAGCATTGTCGGGGTTGAAAGACTCCGACATGGCGTTTCCAACAGTATTCTGCTTTTCCTGTAATCTCTTCTATTATCATCCCTCGGATGAGTTGCAGAGGTAGGTTTAGGAATCTTGGATGAATTCTTATCATTGATAATCTTGTAACAACTCCTTCGAATATACCCGGAGCTAAGGGTATCTGAGAAAGCTTGTTCGGCGCACTAGGCCATAGATCCCGGGTGCGTCTCGGTGGTGGGGCCGATAGCCTAAGCACGGATCCAGACGATAGTGTTAGGGACGATTTCGCGCGCAATTTAGTTGGCAACGTTGGCTTCTTTTCCGCTTCAACTAGGTATCAATTGTATCTCAGCGACTTGACAAGATGCGCCGGTCAACCACCAAAATGCCTGAGCAAAGTCCTTCAGGATCAGAAGAGGGCACTAGCACTCACATGAGCGAACAGGAGCGAAAGTGCGTGGTCTTGGAGTTCCTCCTCGGGCCCCCTAACGAACGATGGCTAACGTCGTGGATACAGACGAATGCGCAATCGCCTCTCTCAGCAAGCATTCCGGCGCAGACAGGCAGAGCGGATCAGAGAACTGAGTAACCGCGTCAATGTCGATCAGAGGTCGGACAGTGAGCGCATCGAGGCACTCCAACGGGAGAACCGACAACTGCGGACGCAGTTGGTCGACGTCCAGACCAAAATGTCCCGGCTGCTGGCCACACTGCAAGGCCTGAATGACTCCGTTTCAAAAACTCTCAATGATACCGTCACCAGCGGGAATGAAGAGTGCACAAATACTGAATATTCAGAAAAGCCATCACAGCCACCAAATCAGAATATCAGGCAAAGCCTCCATAACTCTTCGCTTTCAGGACTATACGCACCGATGGAGTTAGAGCCATTCGATACATCCATGTTAAGTTTCGATCCACCTCTCACACTACCCTCTGTGACAGGCAAGTAGTACAGCTCTCTCAAATGTGAAAGTGAGGCACTGACATCTCATAGGGCAAAATAACGATACCCTTTTATCATCCGAGCTCATCAATGTCGCTGGCACTAGCCCACTTTACTCTCAGATCCCGAATATCTGGAGCTTCGAGTACCAAACTGGCACAAAACCATACTTGACCGCCATGGCTGCAACCGAAGAATCCAGCATGGTGTTGCGAAAGAATTGGACGCTATCAAACTCACCATTTTCAGACCACATCCAGCTGCTCCAGCGCCTTCTGAAGAACAAGCTGAGGGCATCCGGGTTTGCTCCGGAAGGGCAACCTTCAATGCAAGGGTATCCAGTAAAGTTCTTTATGATTATGACCAAAAGCTGACTGGTCCTAGGATCTATCAACCAGTTCTCATGGTTCTGTCCATGTTCAACAGCATAACCCGGCCCGACGTAATGGCCTGGTACGCAAAAACGCGCTTCTTCCACATCATAGAGTTGACGGCCTGGCAGCTTTATCCGTCTGCCGCTACCTTTCAGAGATTGCACCAGAGATACCGGCCGACCGAGACTCAAATGAAGCACCCACACCCGCGTGTGATAGACTGGATTCCGTTCCCCTCCATTCGAGATCGGCTTATCCAGCGCCATGCCGCCAATCCCCATATTGATCAAATATTCTGCGATGCGGTCACGGGATACGTCGTCGAGACAACCATGTCCGATCTTGTACTCGGCGCGCCGCAAATCACAGTCTACATCAGGGTCACGGATCTGATTACGGCCATGTCATCCACCGCGGACGACGGCCTCAACGATGCACCCGCGAACCTACCCGCCCCAGACATCACAACCCTGTTCACCTCACAATCGTACGCCCGTGCAGCGTTTAAGCAATTGAACATGGACAAAGGAGCATCTTACTACAAGATCGACCCGGCCTTCTATGGAAAGTATCCCGAGCTGTTCGACCAGTCCAACGACCTTACAGCCACCGGCATACCCCTCAGACCGAAATCGCAAAAGGTGCTGACCTACCCCAAACCCCTCGATGCCTCAACGGTCGAGACCTACCGGAGTTTCATCGACTTCTCCCTCGACGCTGCCAACACAATCTCATCCTCCTCAACGACGGCCCCGTGACTTGTGTCTTGGGCCCATCCTCGCAGTCGCTTGTAGAGCACGGTCAACAAAACATACTTCTCTCACTTGTCGAGGTCACACGGGATCCCCAGCCGGCTCCGCGATGCCGCAACTATGCGCCGTGCCCCGTATGTAGCCGTTGCATTTTTTTTTTTTTTGGCGTGTTAAAGTTCTAAGACACCCGTAGTTTCGGAGCATAGGTGTGTCCACGTTTTTGTTGAGCGTATGCGTAGCACGGCACACCGACCCACCGCTATCGCACTGACAAAAGCCGCACTGACTAACGTTCCACTTAGTAACGCTCGGATTTTGTCATCGTCTGATGTTTGGGTGGGCATCTTTCGGTGGGGATGGGCAATTCTATATAGAATTCCCAGGAAACGAAATACCGGCTTTGCCTTACTACTCAACTCTTGTTTTCGTCTATGTAGTTGTACCATCACCATTCACCAAAAATGCCGTCACAGTTTCCTGCCCCTGAGGCAACTCTTCGCTACAGCTTTCTTGATGACTACAGCGAAGGAGCTCATCCGGTAGTCTTGAAAGCCATACTCTCCAGCAACACAACCCAAGAAGTCGGATACGGCGGCGACACATTTTGCGCTCTCGCACGGCAACGGATCCGCCGGCACCTGGGCCGCGAGGATGTAGGAATTTTCTTCGTGCCCAGCGGCACATCAGCCAACGCCATTTCCATCGCAGCATGTCTACGACCTCACGAAGCCGTCATAGCCGCAAGCTCCGGACATATTGTCACGAGAGAGACCGGTGCCGTGGAAGCCAGCGGACACAAGATCATCAACGTCGCGCCACTCGATGGAAAGCTGACCCCTCAGAGCATCCAACGCGCCATGGACGATAATTGGCATTTCCCGCACATGGCCAAGCCGAGGTTGGTGTACATCTCGAACGCGACGGAGATTGGGACGATATACACGCGGGCAGAGCTTGCCGCAATCAAACAAGTCTGCGAACAGAACCAGCTTATACTATTCCTTGACGGAGCCCGCATCGGGACAGCATTGGCCTCAAAATCAAACGACATGACGCTCCAAGACGTACTAGAGTTGACAGACATTTTCTGGATCGGCGGCACCAAGAACGGCGCCCTTCTTGGAGAAGCCGTGGTAGTCAAGGACGCCCGTCTGGCGACCGAGTATGAATTTTACGTTAAGCAACATGGCTCCCTGCTCGCCAAAAGCCGCATCATGGGCGCGCAGTTCGCAGAGCTCTTTAAGGATGACCTCTACTTCGACTTGGCCCGGCAGGCCAACCTGTGCGCCGAGACGTTATCCAGCGGTGTCGCCGCTGCTGGGTTCTCGGTGTACGCTGTCACGGAGACAAATCAGGTGTTTGCAGTGCTGCCTGTCGGTTTGATAAAGTTACTGCAAGAGCACTTCACTTTCTACGTCTGGGAGAAGCGCGGCGACGATGAGGCCGTTGTGAGGCTGCTCACCACGTGGGCAACAGAGACAACAGAGGTGGAGAAATTTATCCGTTTGGTTCAGGGCTGGGGCAAATAAAGATTAAACATTAATAATTCAAGTAATGCATCATGAAGCCTGCTCGTCAATGTAGTGACGACAATGCCTCGTCGACGTTGGGAATCTCAGACGCTGTTTGGGCCGGGCCGCCCCAAGTGACCTTGCCATTCCCATCCACGGCCCAGGCCCCAGAAGTCTGCCACCGGCTCCCGCTCTCTGTAGGCCTGTTGGCGATGCCTTCCTCTCGTGACAGCTTGAACACGTTTGACAGCGCGCTCAGACTAAGGACATGCATGAAGCTCGACGCGCCGAGGCCCCATTTGGCATAAACATCGCGTTCTTCATTGGTTATGACTTCAACGGGGTTCTTCTCGCCGGGGCCTCCAACCTCAGACAGCCACTTCTTCGTGTGAGATTCCGAGGAGTGAGAGACGGCGATGAAGGCGACGTTCGGGTTCTTGGAGGCTGCTTCGCGGAGGACGATGAAGGATTTCTCGGCGACTGTTAAAGCCGAACAGGTGAGCTTCATTATATGTTCCGTCTAAAAACAAATATGCGCATCGCATCCCATGTTAACTTACATGGACAACCGCAATGCCTAAGAAACACGACCACGGCGGCCTTCGCGTCGGCCCTGGGGAGTTGCAGCAAATCGGTGCTCGGTGCATAGTCCCCCGCTTTCGGAGGGTTTGCGAGGTCCAGCTTCGTCGGGGTCATCCATGACGCCAATTCTTGGGTAAAAGACATGGTTACAAATTGTTGATCGGATTAGCCAGAGTGTTATCCACAATGTATCTTGAAGAGGGCATGTTGACGAGGATGGAATTGCCCGTTGAGAGACTCCTGTAGCTCAATAACGTCATGGTTTGTCATCGCTTGACACTATTCAGCTAAGATCGGCCGAGTCCCGGAGCCGGAACACCACATGTCCGCTCAATAGCATCTGATGGGATATATTTATCTTTCCAAACTCGCCACTTATTTGATCTTTTTCCATCACTTATGGTATGCACACATTTTCAACTCCTAGAGAAGGTTTCTCAATTTGCAATCTTGAAAGGTCGTCCACTGACTTGAGTGTGGTCACAACAATCTCCGCCTTCGATGAGGCTTTCAACGTTCAACATTAGATTTGATAATCCGTATTGCGTAGGGCACACTTCGTCCGTCATTTCTTCGCAGGCTATGTAAATTTGATCGTCCAGGAAAAGCGTTGGTGGGTCCCTACATTCGGGAGTTTCATCCCACGAAACCGTTTCTGACATCGGCTCATCTACATTTTCACGTGTCCGACATATTTCCTCTGCAACGAGAGTGCTTTGGAGGAAAGATGACACTGATTCTCGTAGTGGTATTGGGCGCGATAGCTGATTCAGATCTTGCAATGGAAGACATTGGAAGGAGTGGGAGGCGGTTGCCGTGTCGGGACTCAGTAGCCTGGTTGCTGTAGCGAGAAGCCTCATGTTTTCTGCTTCTTGTTCAGCTAGCACAGGATATTGGTTAAAGATGTCCGATGAGAAAGAAAAATTTGACCCGTGGATATACATAATGTTACAGAGAAAATGTTGGAGTTTCGTGGGGTTGGTTATTTGCCGACTTGTGGCTGTTGTTGTACTCTGTTGTGGCCTGCTGCGGAGTGTTATCGATGTCCGGGGTTCGCAACACTCGATGTGATGGTTCATTACGCAACTGCAGGTGCAGCTTCCCGTGGTCAGTGGTTTGTTCCTTATTGGTTTTTGGCGTGAGCAAGGACAAAGGATTGCATGTCAGAAGAACACGGGACAGCTGCCTTCTCTCAGTGGGCCATTGAAAAGATAATGCCTCAGCTCAGCCATGGCAGGGAACAAACATGGTATCAAAAAGAACAAGGCTAACGTTCTGGGCGGGATTATACCAGAATGGTAAAGGTATTTGGCGGAGATCGTTGATCACGTCTCAACAAAGCTGTCAGAACAGACCTCGTTCCATTCCGCCAGACAACTGCATTGTTCAAGCTGGGCGGTGTACGTTCCGGTGTCGTTGTTCAACCAACCCGTTCCCTACCTTGCAAGTCGAAACTTTTGACCCTAGAGGATTTTTGTTGTACTGAGTGTCAAGCAGAAATTAAGTGCAGAACTCTTACCAATTTCTTTTACCGCTGCTGCAACATTTAACGCATACCACACTCAACGTTCGGGGGTTTAACTTGCGTCACATGTTGGCCAAGCGTCCTTTACCAAACCAAAATTACTGGCTTGACGGAATCAAAAAGAGGGACAAAGTTGGGACAAAGTATCTGGCTTCGGCCTTTTGATATCGAGTCCCTGGGCGATGGACTATCCATTTCGCCACGGACTGTGCTACGAATCAACCCATGCACACTCCTTTCCATTTACAACTTCAACCCCTCCATCATTCCCTCCAACTGCTTCCATTCCTCCGTGTCCTCCCACGCCTCCTTTCCGCGACTCATCACGCTCCTCACCGCGTTCCTCGCCTTGCCCCTCCACTTACTGCCCACGCTCTCAACCTCGCTGCCAAAGTTCTCCAACACACTCACAAGCTCATCCGTCCTCGCAACAACGGCCTTCCACGCGTCCGCATCAACAAGCCAGTTGCGGCTCTGATCTGCACCCCCTGACCCCGCCGCGGACGCCGTCAACCCGCCGCCCGCGCCAGCGCCCATCGCCGCCCTCCATGCCTTCTCCGCCGCATCCACGGCGCCGGCATAGTCCCTCCTCCACACCCGCAGCCTAACCACCAGTTCCCACAGCTCCGAGCGCTTTGTGATGAGGGGCACGACGCTCTCCTCGAACAGCGCGATGACGGCCTTCTCGACGGTGCCGCGCGGCGGGTTGTACACCCCCGTTTTGCTCTCGTCGTTCTCCTTCTCCTTTGTTAGGACACCCTCCTGCAGCAGAGCGCGGAGGACGTCGTCGTCGAGCGCGTCCTCGGTGTTGCGGATCCGGATGATGGCGCGGAGGGCCTGCACCATGTCGACGATGGCGGGCGGGCGCATACGCGAGGCTAGGGTGAGGACGTTGTCCCAAATGCGCCAGTTATCCTGCGCTATCGATGCGCCGCGCTTGTACGCCGCCAGGGACTGGGAAAGGAGGGTTGCCGGGTCGCGGGGCTTGAGCTCGCGCTGCTTGGGTTCCTCGCCATCCTCGTCCTCGTCCTTGGTCTCTTCCTCCTTGACCCCGGTCTTCTTCTCCTCAATGATCTGCTTCTTCATCTCCTCCACCGCCTCGAGGTACATGCTCCAGAGGGAACTGCCGAGGTTACTCCATGTCCTCGCATCCTCGCCGCCGACAACGTCACCCGCTGCACCGATGGCGCGGCTGTACGCCTCCGCCGCGTCCGGGAACTGTCCCAGACGGAGGCTAATATCACCCAACCGTCCCCACAGCTCAGGACTCAGCCGGTTGCACTTGGTCGCAAGCTTGTACGCATCCTGCGCCTTGCTCCACTCCTTCTGCGCGAGGTACCATTCACCGAGCGACTTCTGCGCGCGCGCGAAGCGGTGCTTGGAAATCTCCCACGCGCGCTCCCAGTGTGCCGGCTCATTCTCCAAATCGCCGAGGATGCAGAACAACCGCGGCGCGTTGGGCGGGGGCGGGCTGCGTTCGGGGCCGGTGAAGTCGGTAGGATTGAGGTACGTGACGTCGCGCCCGAGGTCCTCAGCATCCGGATCCGCGTTCTCCACGACGGGCTGCCCCGTGCGATGGAACAGGCGCCAGCGGACGAGTGCCTTGGCCTTCTCCTCGCCACCGCTGCCGCGCCCGGACTCATCGTCCGAGGAGGCGCTGCTCGCGAGGCAGAGGGCGACTTCAGCCCAGAGGCGTAGACGCTTGAAGATCTCGAGGGCGGAGACGAGGGAGCCAACGCCGGCCCAGGAGTAAGCGAGCTCTGACTCGAGGTGCCATTTCGGCGGTGAGGAGAGCGCGTGGATGTATTGCAGACGGACGTGCGCCGGGGCCGTATCGGTCTCCTTGGCGGCAGGGAAGAAGGACGTCGGCTTCTCCGTGTCGACGGAGGCTGCGGTTTCGCCGGGGGCAGTGACGGCGATGGCTGGGACCTCGGGCTCGTCGGCGACATCTTCAGCCTTGGGTCGTGGGGCCTCGGATGTGTCGACGACGACTTGGTCGACGACAGCCTGCATTTGCAAGACACCTCTCTCGACGGTCCTGCTGCGGTGAATTTCGATACGGGAGCGGACTAGCAACGCCTGTGTGTAAATCTGCCAGTTGGTGGCCTTGTCCGAGACGACGCGCACAGCATATGGCAGAACCTCCTCCGATGTCAGTGTGTCGACGGGAGAAAATGTGTCCTTGAGAGTCGCCTCGGTCAGCAGGATGATTTGGTCAAGCGGCGACAGCTGGGGCTGTGCGTCCGGAGACAGGTCCGCCAACGCCTCAGGAAGGCCAGAGGACGTGGCCGCCAGTTCACCATGCTTGCCGCTCGCCTCCTTGGAGAACTGAATCTCCTCGAGCAGTGTATCGTCGTTCAGCGCCACAGCCTCAGGCTTCGCCTCCGCGTCGCCATCCTCCGAGCTCTTCGCCGGTGTGTCGCTCTTGGCGAGAACGACAAGCTGACTGGTGCTCTTCTCCTGGAACTTGGTCCTTTTTCCGAGCGCACCAGAGAGAGCATACGCAAACTTGCTCAACTCCGTCGCTTCCTTCAACGCCTCGCGCGCTCTGTCGTCGCGGCCGAGCATGATGTGCGTATTCGCCGCTTCCAGCAAGAACTGCACCTTATCGTCGCGGGACCAAGTGTCCTCGCTAGTTGACCACAATTCCTCGTCGAGGATCTGCTTCCTGACAGTCTCCATTCCGAGGTTGATCTGCTCTGCCAGCGTTGGGACGTCGATCCACTGAGAAGACTTGGCAAAGTTGGAGCCGGGGCCGAGAGAGGGCTGGTTGAGGAGCTTGAAGTGCCACACGTTGATGCGCAGGCGGGTCCATGGCAGACTCAGCCGCGAGGAGGAGAGCTTGATGACGGCATCGCTGGCCGATGAGGACTCTGTAAAGATATGGCGCGCAAGAGCGAAGAGTTCGATATTGGGGATATAAGGGTATGGCGAGACGCCATCGACATCAAGCGCCTTGAAACTTCTCTTGCGAAGCGCCTTGAGGTTGTCTGCTGCCTCGGAGAGTTGCCCCGTGGACGCCTCAATGAAAAGCGTCTCGACCTTCTCAACCTGCTCCAGAACTGGCCCTGTCACATTCGCTTGAAGGAAGGCATTCAAAGCAGCAAGACCAACTGCAATCTCATCTTCGGAGAGCGTCTCCTGCGATGCTGATGTGGGGTTGCTGTCCTCCTCAGCCGCTTGCGCTTCGAGGTTGCGGGTGAACTTGGCAATGAGGTCTTTGGCAATTGGGACGTCAGGACGTTGATGTATGCGCCGTCCGTGACTTGTGAGAGCAAAGAGGCAGAATTTTGGCTGCCGTTCGTCTCTGTGTCCGCCATCGTTGGCGAAGTTGTTGCAGAATACTCGTGCTTCGCTTGTGATATGGAGGGGTCGCAAGCCGCGATAGGTGTGTGAGTCTCTGCCCCGCGCGTCGCGGGGTATTCGCTCCGAATTCGCTGAACAGGTATCAGAATAGGGTTCTGATCGAATCACAGAGATCAGTTTGGTATTCTCGTAATTGTCAATGCTCAAAATTGGCAAAAGAGCATGGTTTACGGCTTCTCTTGACAAGTCAGTGACTCAATCGGCGGATTCAGGCGTGTCTTGATGCCCTGTGAAATCGAAATTTCCATGGTGGGGGCGGGGCAAATTTTCACCCACTGCGTTACATAAGCAGCTCACCGATGAATTCACCGAAGACAACCCATATATACACAGTTAGTTACCTCTTCCACTCTAGTCGTCACTTCATCAACTCTGCCTGACTTAATCGCGTCGCAAACACACTTGAGAGTGATATCACTGCTTTCTGACATGCTACCTATCGCTTGCATTTGAGCGCTACATGACGGTTTGACCCAATGATAGTAATCCATCCAGAGATAACTTCGCTATCCGAACATCGTCAAGCATCGCCCTGCTGGCTATTACAACATTACAGCCTCAGTCATCAGATTCCACTAATATTCGTGCTCAACAAGTCATCTCAGTTGCCCTTCTTGCCCGCCTTCTTGCGGGTAGGAACAACCTTGAAGCCAGCGCCCTGGATACCAGTGTCTCCTGCGGGAGACTGCTCCTTGTGGCCGCCCTTCTTGGCCACCTCGTTCCAGCTGCCAGTCTTGCTGTCGGTGACAGCGCCTTGCTTCTCGACCACGCCCTTCTCGGCTAGCTTCTTGCGGCGGATAAACTCCTCGGCGAAGTGGAGACCATGCATGGTCTTGGAGTTGGCATAGACTGCATCAGCAATGATGGTGTTGTCGAGCGGAAGGATGAGGAGGGTAGCAGCAAACGTATCAACTGTGACAATAATTAGCAACCGCACCTTGTTCAAATACTTATGATCAAACTTACTGTCAACACCAGTGATTCCACGGGACAGCTCGCGGTGGAGCCATTTGTTGAACTCGTCCATGGCAACATCGCTCTTTGCAGGTCCAGTCGGGGCAACAGGGGGAGCGGGCTTGATGGCCGGCTTCGTCGCAACAGGGGTAGCCTTCATGCCAGCGGCGCTAGCTGATCGGGTTTGGGCGGCAGGCCCAGTAGGCACCTTGACCTTGCCACCAGCTCCAACGGTGGCCCAGCCGCTGCCTGGGGGAGGGCTGTCGTATTCGCTTGTCCAAGGCCAGGGGCATTGTTAGGCTTGGTAGCAAGGTCGGCATAACGCTTGCCGGCGGCCGCAGTAGCCAGTCCGGTCTGGATGGCAACCTCCTTGGCGGCCTTTGCCTTCCTGTTCTCTTCTTCTCGCTGGATGTCGGCAAGGGTCTTCTGCTTTCCGGGGGTGCTGGCGCCAGGAGTAGGCTTAGCGGCGGCAGGCTTGGTCCAAGGGCTGGCAGGTGCAACGGGCGAACCATTGCCCCAGGTGCTAGTCGTAGGAAGACCAGTGGCAGAAGTAATAGCCTTCTCGCGCTCTCTGAGGGCAGCAGCCTCTTGCTCCAAGGCCACGCGGCGGCGCTCGGCGGCAAGCTCCTCGGCCTTGGCAGCCTTACGGGCCTCGGCCTCCTGTATCTCCTTGAGGCTGGGACCCTTGCGGCTGGCAGCCTCCTTGGCCCATGGGGCCAAAGGTGGAGGCTCGGTGGCCGATCCGGTGTCGGGGGTTCCGGTCTGGGATCGGTTGTACTGCTCGGGCAGGTTGGAGCGGACACGCTGAGCAGTGGGGGCAGGAAGAGGAGTGCCAGCCGTGGGGAGTGGGGGAGGAAATGGCATAGGGAGACCAGCAGCCGCATTCTTAGCGGCCTCGGCAGCAGCTTGTGCCTGCTGGACTCTTTGAGTTAGAGACAACTGCTGCTCTTCCTCCATGATTTCCTTGATGCCGGGGCCGATGACTTGTGGTGCTCCTTGGCAGCTGCCTCGGAAGTCGCTGTGGCGGAAATCTCTTGGTGCGCATCCTCCTGGGTGGCCTTGGTACCAGACTCTTGGGCTTGCTCGGAGTCACGCACGGCACGGATATCCTCAAACTCCTTCAAACGCTCGCGAAATCCCTCCTCGTCCTTGTCCAGCTGCTCAGTGGCTGGCAGATTGTTGCGGAGATTGTTGTCGTTGGTGGGAGCACCAACAGGCTGCTGATTGAAGATGCCGGCAATGCTAGTCGGGGCCTGAACACTTGCAAGCATTTGGCGCTCGCTCGGGTTTAACGTGGCAAGATCCTCTTCGCGAAAGTGCTCAAGTCCAGAGCCAACAGGGGGCTGGGCCGATCCTTGCTGAGCGGCCACGTCGAAGAAGCCGGACGTGGGGCCAACACCACCTCCGATAGGGGGCTGTTGAGGATGAGCACCAATTGGCGACGAGATGCTGCCGAAGCTAGGTTGGCTCTGCAGGCTGTGAGCGCTGTGCTGGTGGTGCAAGGAACCTGGGACACCACCTGGGCCTTGACTTTGCAGTCTGGTGATGGCTTGCTGCCTCATCATGAAGTCGCGCTGCTGAGCCATCGCCTGCTGCTCCTCCTGCTTCCTACGCTCCAGGTTGTTCTGCTCCTCGGCGGTCAGCGTTCTACCAAAGCTTGGGAACACCCCACTGAGGGGAGGAATGACGCCAGTATTGCCGCTCGGGGAGAAGGGGCCAGCCTGGGATGGAGGGCCATGGGCGATGCCGATTTGGGGAACAAGGAAGGGCTCGCGCGAGTTGCCGATTCTGCGAATGAGTTGACCAAGGGGCTCGAAGTCAGAGTCTTCCACCTTCTTCACGCGGAGGTCAGGTGTGAAGAAGTTGGCCTTGTACCAGTCGTTCATCTCGAGGCCGCTAAAAGGGCCCTGAACATGACCTTGGGGGTCGAGGTAGACCCAGCGCATACGATCGGGCATGACCATCTGACGAACCGGGGTCGAACCGAACTCAGCGCCAGCAGTAGCTCCGGGAGTGAACGCCTGAGGGTGGCCGACGCCGGCAGCTCCAGGGTGAGAGGGATCGGAGCCACCAAAAACGCTGTGAGAACGGGTAGGGTCAGAGGGGAACATCTCTTCGAACACGCCGCCCCTGCCACTGCGAAGCGGGCTGCCAGTGTCTCGTGGCGCTGGGTTGAAGTTGCCGCGACCGATGGCACCAAGAGGGTTTCCTTGGCGAAGGTCGGGCAGGGAATCGCTCAGGTTCTCCTGCTCGTGACCTTGCATCTGGGCCTGCATCGCGGGCGGGAACAGGGAGCCTAGCTTGCTGCGACCAATAGTGCCAGCTCCACCGAGGCCACCGGCACTAGCTGGACCGAAGACACCAGCGCCAATGCTTGACAAGCCAGGCGACTGAAGCTCGGTACCCATAGGGCTGAACAAAGAATTTCCAAAGACACCACCAAAGCCAGCGCGCTCACGGTCTGGGGTGCCAGTAGACATGGGAACAGGCCAGCCAGATGCGTAACCTCGAGGGCCAGCGCTACTGGTCTGGCTGCGATCGCTGCCGTCGAAAGCATGGGTGGGGAAGCCGCGTGACGACATCGTGTTGAACCCGGGATTTTGCTCGCCGCCAACTGCCGCGCCATGGGGCTTCTCGGTGCCGCCTTCTTCATTGGATTCGCCACGCTCGGTCGGGGGGCTGCGGTATGGGTTCGTCTCGGACGGGCTCGTAGGACCTTGCTCGTTCTCGGCTTGGCGTCCAAGGTTCAGTCCAGACATGCCAAAGTCGCCAGTCGAACCCTTGACAGGCGTCTCAAACATGCCTATGTTACTGGGGTTGGGGATCGGGGGAGGGCTGGTGTCTTGAGCACCTCCGAGTGCTGCGCTGCCGGAAAGATTATCGTCGCCTCCGAAGGGGTCGGTGTCGGTTCGGGGACGAGAACGCCAGGATCGGGTCGCGTCGGGAGTTGAGGCTTCGTTCGGCTTGTTGGCAGGGTTGTCTGTACCATCCTTGGTCATAAGATTGGCGAAGCGGCTTCCCCCACGGCTACCTGTACCAATTGTCGAAGTAGGAGTCGGGAGAGCGAACTGGCCAAAACTGCCCATGCTACCACCACTACCACCGCCACCACCACCGCCGCCGCCGGCCGCGGAAGCTTGGGAGGAAGCACCCCAAAGTGAGCCCAGGTTGGCACCCATGCTAGGGTTACCAGTCGTGTTACTGCGCGTCAGGTTTCCAAAGGGTGCCTTAGTCTGCGCCTGGTTCTGCGACTGTCCCGCTCCTTCGTCGTCAGGGGGGTCCTGCTCTTTGACGTCGTTGTTCTTGCGACCGAACAAGAACGCCTCGTCGCCGCGGGCAAACCGTGCCGCACTCGGGGACGGAAGCGGACCGTTGCCGAAAGGGTTAGAATCCGTCGTCTCTCGGCGCCGAGTTCCAGGTCTGGAGGCAGACGACGGCGATGCCAAACCGTATGCGGCAGCACTACCATGCGACAAAGAAGCCTTCCGTCCGTTCGGTCCGGGCCCCTGATTACCCTCCTGTTTCTGAAGAGGGGCTTCAGAGGAGAGTTGACATCAGATGCGAATGCCTGTCTCGTATTAGTCCCAGTTGCCTGGTAGTCGGGTCCATCTGGCCAACGCACCTCCTTCTCCTCTTCAGACAAGCCATTGACGCCGACGGGGTGACTATCGCCCCGGGTGTTCCAACAGGCAGCGGGGTCCTGAGAATTATGGTTATTGTTGCTCTTGCCCCAACCCCGCGCAGCGCCTCCATTTGTTTGTCCTGGCGTCCATCCCGATTCAAACACATTGGCAGCGTCTATTTCTGCCGCCCCGTTCTTGAACACACCAAGAATCGACTCCTTCTGGTACTGTGAAGGAGCTGGGTAGTCGTACGTCGCAGCTCCCGGCGTCTGGGGCGCTGCCCCGGATTCAAGGGACGTCGCGGGAAAAGCATTTTCGGACGAGGCTGCGGGTTGGGACGGGTGGCCGGGTGTCGTCGAGGATCTTCGGAAGGTCAGGGTGCCGTTAGCTCTGCCGTCACGTCGAGCCCTAGTTGTCCTGTTAGCAGAAGATTCGATCGAAGATCGTAGGCGGCTGGGTGGCAGGTTTTGGTGGTGATGCGACCGCGTGGCAAGAGACAGGAACAGCCACGACGGTTCAGCTGAACTCGCCACCACCGTAGCAACGCATGTGCACCCCCAAAACCCAACACTCCATCCCGCCCGCGACGAGGAGGGGCACATCACAAAACTGCAACGTCGCCGTGGACAAAATACAGAAGGCTACTGACCATTCCCCACTGCCAACTCCGCGTCCATCGTGCCGACCGCTTCTCGCGTCACGGCTGGAGTTCTGGCCGGCAGCGGCCGAGGCGAAGCTCGATGGTAGATTCGAAGGCATGGCTGATGATGCGCAAAAAGAGGTATTTGGCGTTGAGCAGGTGTAGTGGAGGGGTGCAAGCAACGCGCAGGTGTGGTGGGATTTTTTTTAGTTCGGGATTTGCTGATCGATCTCTCGTGAACAAGGCACGAAAGGGATTCTGGAATTGGGGGCGGGAGATTGGCTGTAGGGTTGTCGCGCGCGACTTGGTTTGGAGATGATGATACACGTCGGAGTGATGCGTGGTGCAGGTAGCTGATGTCAGGCTTGCTAAACGATGGATTGATCGGGATACCGAGAGGTCGGTTCGCGAGCGTATACGGTTCGTCGTGCGAGGGTGGGTGAGGAGTGTGAGCTGTCTCGTCGAAAAAATCAAAGGTTTGAAAGGAAAATTGCCAGCTCGGAAGGACCCACGATGGTGTGGACCAGGGAGGAACTGTGGGAACTGGCGACGCGCTAGTCCCGACAAGGCAAGAGCCGTGGTTTATCCGGTCCCGGCTACACGTTGTTCTAGCTGGAAGTGCCGGGGAGAATGAGGTAAGGTGCGGATGACGTTGAGACCTGGCCGTACCTGCCTTGCCGCCCTCCGTCGGTTGTGACTGTCCTTCCCCAGATTCTAAATTCTATTTACTTTCCTCTGCCATTCCACGCGCTTTACCCCGATCCGAACGCACCCATCCATCCATTTATTCGTCTTGCATCCCAATATTGAGGCCCGGTTTTTACACTACTGCCCATGACGAGGGTGCCATCACGTGCGTCACACGTGACCCCACCCTGGAGCGTCCACTCTGACGTTTTTTTCCGCCCGGCGACAGCGGTGCAGCTCCGACCAAATCGAAAAGCAGTTTTAGGCCGTCGGGCTGTGCTAAAGGGCTTTTCGGGCTGGGATGCGCACTTGGATCGGGTGCTAAAATCTACCAGAGCTAAAAACTTTCCAGGGGTCATCCCCTAGAGCTCAAGCTCTCTGGCCTCTGCGCACCACGGACATCTCCAAGCTCCTTTCTTTTTGGAGCAGACACTCTATTTAAAGCAGTGTAGCATCGAGGCGGTGTCCAGCAGGGAAGACTTAAATAATCAAGCTGCGAGAAGAGGACGGGTGTCAAGAAGAGGGATCATGCAAGCGGTGGAGAGGGCAGGATGCAACAGCATGCCCACGATGACTGCCCTCCGGTCATCCGCATCCCGTTCCACTCTCGCACTCTAACGTCGTTCGCTCATGCTCATGCATGTCGTCTGCCCTCCTCTTATCATCTCATCTCATGTCTTGCGCCAGCCAGTCTCCCTCAACCACGACTCGCATCCCATTTGTCCACCACCAACCCCATTGGCCAAAAGTTTCGCAACAAGCTCAAGGGAGCGCTTTAAACATTTGGGCTTGTTTCATGCCACTTCACAACGGCCTCTGAGCTCTGAACGGCGACCCTTGCTAAAGTTCGGTCTGTGTTCGCCCAGGGAGACCGCATGAGGGGGGACAGCCTTAATCTACGAATCTCCACTCCTTTGCTACGCGACGTCAACGTCATGCTTGATAATCGAGGTGGCCAACTGAGATTTCATCCTCTCAAAGTCTAGACATTACTCGACCAACTCTGAGGAGATTCCGTGAACAGACCCCCAGGTTTGCCATCCAATAGGCAGTGAGCTAGCTCACGGGCCGTACGACTAAAGCCATCGTGCACACATAGAATGTTGTCGATGTGAGAGCTCCCAACCGACTGTGACTGAGCAGTGTTAGGTTTCCTGCTCTTTCTAGGTGCTGCAGGTTACCATCTTGATTCCTCTCATCTATGAGATCGATCGTCGTCGCGGTTCATGTCTCCCTGTTTCTGCCGAGCTGGCTCCGGCACTAGTCGGTGTTGGTGCGCCCAGTCATCTCAAAGCTCAGACAACCCCTCGAAGCTAACTTTGGGGGTCTTATCATGGGCGTCTCCCAGATGTTTCGTCTGCACAACATCCCTCGTTCGACCACATCTCATCAGCTACTAATAACAATCGCGGAGGGCTAGCGTTTACTACCCTCTGATAAGATGTCACGAGCTGGTCTGTTCCCATCGGATTACTCCGACCATGGCGCACCAAAACGGATAATCATCGCCTTCCTGAAAAGCCGACAGGTGAGGCTGTTCGGCTTGTTTGCCGCACTGCTAATCGGCATCCGAGTATTCATCCTGGACTCTTCATCGGGCGGAGTCCCGCAAGACTATGCAGCCACGAACCCTTGGCGGGACCTACCCCCGAGCACGGCTGTCCACGGGACCATTGGCGAGGTGCTCCTTATCGGGGATACTCTCCGAGACGGCATGCTGCCAACATCTCTGCCGGACGACGACTACGATATGTATTCGGCGATGCTGCGCAGCCTCGAGACGAGGTCGGATCTCACCTGGCTCGTAGTCCAGGAGACCGGAATCGACAAAACAGTCATGGCCATCGCCAATCGCGGCGGTTATCACAGTCCCATTCCGGAAGAGCCACATGACTTGCACGAGCGCGCAAAGAGACTACATAGGCATTGGTTCACGCTTGCTTCTGCCAAAGACAAGCCGGATCGGTGGGAGGCTCGGTTCGACACCACCTCTCTGCCTCCGCTTGTCAGCGGACGCGCCACTGGCTCTGGACAAAACACAGATCCCACAACCATGGACTTGACGGTTGAGCAAAAGGAAGCGGCAGATACAAAGTACAGAGCCTACCGACAGCGCAGAGACCGCGCGGTGTCATACCTCAAGGACCACCCGCCCAAGCCTATGGCTTGGTCCCCAATCCAGACCGAGCCGGAATCGACTCGGGGCGCTTGGGAGACGATCTTCAGCGATGGCATCGTGCAAGCCGGACGAAAAGTGGTGGCCAGCAAGCTAGCCAAGAACCCCATGTTCAAGCCCATATATCGTGATCTCCTCACAGAGCGTGTCCCGTACGACTGGGTCAACCCGAACGAGCCGGTGAAGGAGTACACTGAGCAGGATCACCTGAAGGATATGGAGGCGTTCCGGGAGGGGTCACGGACGAGACAGGAAAGGACAGATAGGCAGGCTAAGTTCCAGGAGGAGCTGAGAGGCTTGGAGAGATTGGAGCGGGGGGCAAGGAGGAACTTTGATGAGACTGGGCAAACGAGCTTGGAGTCTCGCGGATATTTATAATGGACATGTCCACTCTATGACAGGAATGTATCAAATAGCATTTGCTTTCCCATACACCCTTATCGCTAGTCATAATAAAAGAAATAAATTCAAGCCTGATCCCTTTTATCAGCCGGTAATCAGTCATATGAGCACCGGCGACACACCCACCCATGTCATGTTCTCTACGCGATACACTCCCACCCCTAAATCCTTACCCTCTCCCACCTGTGGGCTCATGCCACACTTGCAGCTTCGTATTGCGGCTCGCCTCAACTTTGGAAGATCGATTTAGTAACCCGACAGCACAGCGCCGATGGAAGCCAGGGCCGGGACAGCCTGGATGAAGAAGATGCGCGGGTTCGCCGTGGCGCCGCCATACGCGCCGGCGGTGACGATGCAGCCGAGGAAGAAGAGGCGAATCTGCTGGGCGAACTCGGGGACGGGGTGGGCGAGGCCCCAGACGAGACCCGCGGCGAGGAAGCCGTTGTACAGGCCCTGGTTGGCGGCCAGCGTCTTGGTCTTCTCGGCGAAGTCGGCCGTCAGCTTGAAGGCCTTGCGGCCGGACGGCGAGGTCCAGAGGAACATCTCGAGCACGAGAATATAGCCGTGCAGGCCGGCCATGAGGCCCGTTGCGGTGGCGCCGATGAAACCCATGGCTGTTGATGGGGGATGGTGGTTTGTGTGAAGGTGGATGAGGTGCGGAGAAAGAGACGTGTCGTTGAAGGAGTGAGGTGTTTTGATTGGACGTGAGGGGCGATAGGACGTGGTGTCTCGGTGAGTGAGGGCGATGATCCTTTCCAATGTCTCAGGCCGTCTGGCCCCGACTGGTTTTTACCTCCCGCCTCGGTTAGATTGGGGGCCGAATCGTTGCAAGTTCCCGGCGGAACGGAAAAAACGATGGCATTGTGAGGATTTCCTTGGGTCGTGTCTTTGTTAACGACAAATTCGGTAGGTCGCGAGTCAGACGCTGTGTCCCACCGGTCCTCACCGAGCTCACCGAGGTTTCATGGCCCTCAGGCTTGTCACTGTAATAGCTGATTCGTGACATATCAATTAACTCCGACTCAAATTGGTAGCCTACCTAGATTCGCTCTATATAAATCGTAATCACTGTAGTAGATACTTAAGACGATATTCTGTTCTAGACAGTTTTCAACCAACTAGGCTCCCACTTATGGTGGGTTTAAGACGCATATAGAGACATAGAAGAGGAGAATGCATTTCCATTTTCAACAGCCATAACGCTCACTACTCCCATTTGTATCTTTCTTGAGTAACTCTAAATACTCTAGTCACACAAGAAGACCCATCCAACCTTGCAAATTCACAAACCCTAAAGCGCAGATCGGCCTTGAGACCGTATACATTCTGGTTGTCGCCATGATAGCCGCCAATGGCGACTCTACCAACAGCTGCTCCGTCTAGAACGGCGAGTGATTCACTGCCAATGAATCGCAGACCTGTGGCAACGGATGCTTCTGCGAGCTGGCTGTTGTCGACTGCTCGAGTTAGATGCAAGAGGTAGATTTCACCCAGTACGTCGGTTAAGTGGCGGAATCCTTGACCGACCAAGAGCCTGATCGATGACTGCGTTATAAGTGCGGTAACAGCCATACCGTAGTAAAAAAATACCTCAGGTTGAAATTAAGTAGAGTTTCCTGTATTATTAAGGCTTAAATTAAGTAATATATTGCTATTATCCCTATAGAGGTTATTATCTTTACTGCTTTCCTTTTTCTCTAAGCTAAATAAGCTTTATTTCTTTTTACTTTTATTTATATTATTATTTTTTATTAAATTACTATAAATAATTATTATAATTACTTATACTTTTATAATAAGTAACTAGTAAAATAAAAAAGAGCTTTTTATTAATATAAAAGGCTTTATTATTATTTAACTAATTACTTTAGCTTCTATTACTAATAAACAAAAAAACCTATTACGTTAATTAAAAAAAAAGCTAATAAAGAAGTAATAGTTTAATAAAGAGGTTACTTAAAATATTACTAAAGTCTATAATAAAAATAATAATAAAAAATATAATAAAATTAATAATAAATCTTTAAGTAATATATTACTTTTTTTTAAAGATTTATTTAGTTAATAAATACTAATATACTTTTATACTATTTAAACTTTAAAGCTTACTTATTGCTTTATAAAAAAGCTTTTTAATTTATACTATAATAAAAACCTTAATACTAATAAAACTACTATTAAAAAGCTAATCTTTAAAGATCTTATAATATAAATTAATATTAAAAGCTAATTTATTAGTTTTATAACTAATAAATAAATAAAAAATAAATATAATAATAAAAAAAAGAAGTTTTTTATTTAAATATTTATTACTTATAAGTTAAGTAATACGTTTAATAAAAATAATAAAAAGGTCTTTTATAGTAATAAGGTAAAAAAGAACTTCTTAATTATTTACTTAAAATATAAATAAGTTTTTAAAAAAAAGTTAAGACTACTAGATCTATATAAAGAAATATAAGGTATAAATACTAAGAAAAGTAATATTATATTATTAGTTAATAAAGTTATATATAGCTAAAAGATTAACTTTAAGGTAAATAAGAATAAAAAAAATAATAAAAATAATAATAATAACTTAAGGGATATATAAAAAAGTTAATTTTTTTATATACTATTATAGTTATTTATATTATTTTTTAGTACTTTTATATTTTTATAAAACTAATAATTTAATAAATAATTCTAGTAATAGTATATTTTTATTAGTAATAATAAATTACTAAAAAAAAGACTTATTATTACTAAAACTAATACTTATATTAATAAATTAATATAAAAGCTTAGAAATAAATACTTTAATAGTAAAAAAGAAATATTAAAGTTAAAGCTATAAAAAAAGAAAAAAAAAAGAAAATAATTATTATAAAAAGAAGCTAAAGTTAATAAAGTAATAAAAGACCTTATAAGGTTTAAAAAAGATCTTAATTATAATATTTATTTAGTTATTTTAAACTAATTAATAATAATAAAAAAAAAACTAGTAGTTTTAAAAGTAAAGTATTAGAATTTACTATTAAGTAATAAGTTAAAAAAAGTATATTATATAGAGGTTTATAAGTAAAAAGTTAAGCACTAGTAATAAGATCTTTTTATTTATAGTAATCCTTTATAGTAATCCCTAGTATTAGCTTACTTATAGAAATATCTTTTAAGTAGTATTCTTATTTTCTTCTATAGTATCTCTTTTAACTATTAGACTATAGTTCTCTTCTTAAAGCCTTATTAAACTATAGTTCTCTTCTTAAAGCCTTTTATAGTACTGAAACTGCGTGGGATAAAGGAAGCCAGCAAGTGGGCAGTTGACACACAAACCACACCAAACACCAAGGTCCCAGTATCGTCACGAGTGCACCTGGAGTGACCGATTACCCCAAGTGACTACCCCAACGCCTAGACCGTGAGATACTACTCTTTTCAGGTCCTCCTTGGCCTGATCAGGGCCATAAGCAAACCAGAAAAGTGTATCCTTCACGTCTTGCTGTCTGTTCGGATTTGCCCTTGTTGCTAAGTGGTACGCATATGTGTGTCGTGATCTCTGGAGGAGGAGGATACCCTCCTAGACCTTAGAGGTCTAGTCAGGCCTAAGGAAACAAAGTAATAGTCACTTATTACACGTCTTATTTAGATATCAAAGTAATGAATTCGTCCGTGTCTATCTAAGTACTTGTCTAAAGATGTCAAGCTTATCTATCCGCTTAGTGATCCCATGCCGATGCCCTCGTAATAGTATCTGACTAGAGTCCCCTTTTGTACTTGGAAGGGTCCTGCTTAGTCACGTCTGATCAGGCCTGTGATTATGTCTGCAGGCTGATAAAAGGAAAAACAAAAACGCAAAACCCTGCCCCTTTCCAATCGTCCCCCAGTTTTCTTCTTCGCGCAACATATTAAAAGGAGAAAAGTGTAAAAGCATAGGGGCAGACGACATATAAAAGCAAAAACCACTCGTCCTTATTGTATCCTCCCTGATCAGACCTGTGATGTCCTCCTAGCGGCGGCGGAAAGAGTATCTCGAGCCACTCGCCTCGTTACAAGCTACCTCCCTTTCAGCCTCAAGACACTCCTCCTCAAACTTAGCATCCCACTCCTGTCCCTGATCATACCGCTTATAACCCTCCCATCCAGGTGCAATTGTAGGTCGTAGAAACAGCTGCCAAGGGCGCTGTCGCACTGCCACCGTCTCATAAGGGTTCTCAAACATACTAACATATTCGTCCCTAGTGTAGTCAGTAATAGACTTGACCCTGCGCTCCCTTAGTTTGTGGCGCTGCTCCTGTGTGTTAAACAGAGCTTTCTCATAAGTATTTCGCTGTCCTTCAGTCTTCATGTACACAGTAGAAGCCACATTAGACAATCGCTTGAGGTTAAGGGGGCAGCGCGGGAGCGCAGGCTTCGCGGTGGCCTCAGACTCAGCATCGCTAACCTCCTCTTTGCCGTCTTCATCCTGAGCCTGATCAGGCTTAGGAGATGGCCTTACCACGTTACCTTCTGGGGCTGGCGTGGTAGAGAAGCCTGGCTGGTCCTGTGGCACACCAGTATCTGAGGGGGGGCGCATCGAACCAAAGAGACTGGTGAGATCGTCGTCTTGAGGTGCTGAAGAAGGCGTCTTTTTGATAGGCTTAAAAGTCCCAGGAAAGGTGTTAGAGAATTCAGGTGTGTCCTCCTTAGTTTGATCAGGCTTGCTGGATGCTTCTTGTCGAAGTCTCTTGTCATAACTGTCCAGTACAAGCCTCGGCTTGTTACGAAGGTCCTTTCTGCTGTAGTTTCCTGGTTTACTGAACTCTTCAGTAACCCATTGACGCCAGAAATGGTTAACGTGGTCAATGACGTTGCCTCTGCTATCGTTCCAAACCTTCGTCCAAGTCAGACTCTTTGCGATATTGGTAACGTTGTCTCAGATGCAGCATCTGATGAATTCTGCTGCATGCATTCCACAAGTCCACTCGTCAGGCTGTTAAAGGCCAATCACAATGCCTGCTTTCATGCGGATCACCTTGATCAGGTTGGGGGCAGCATTAACGCTCTGATAGAACTTGCAGAGACGGTCCATATCAATAGCGTACCAAAGGGTTACATCTCCGTCTCTCCACATACTGTCATACCAGAAAGATCATCCAGTAACTTAGTTAACAAAGAGGGCAGTGAAATAATTGATGTGATGGGTAACGAACGCCAGGCAGTCCGCCTTTCGAATCCAGTCCTTCTGATCAGGTCTGGCCGTCACAGTAGGGGTGTCGCGGCTCCAAGGAGGGCTGTCAGCAACAAAGCAATTGACCTTGGCATCTCGAGCAGCAAATGCCGCAAGACTTTGGACATCGTCAGAGGCCATCCAAGACTGCTTAACCAAATGTCCAACTGCGTTATAGATACCAGAGAGGTAGGTTTTTGACTCGTTGTTTGTCCACTTTCCCCAAGAACCATCTTGCGAAAAGCCCTTGCCCCAGCGATTATACATCATGCTTATGGCAGACGCGTTATTACTCAGAATCCACATAGAAGCAGGTCCGTCGCCCTGATCAGACGGACCAGGACAGTTGAGAGGTCTCAGCGGAGTAATAGGGTCTTCAGTAGCCGGGTCTGTGAACCCTTCGAGTGGCTTAAGGTCTTCGGGATGCGCGTACTGTGATTTCTGCGGCATCTTGATGGCGTTCGTGGTTTGCTTAGTCGGATCAGGGAGATTATCGCTGAGATTCTGAATGCGGCATTCCTCGAAGAGAGTTTAGCAGTGCTCCAAAACCCACATATTGTTGGTTCCATCTGGGCCGGCAGGAGCGTTCTAGATAACGTTAACGGCTTAGAAGGAAGACATGATAAGTTATAGATGTGTATAGATAGGTCTGATTAGGGTGAGAAAGTAAAAAAGAAAAAGAGAATAATATGTTGTTAATTGTTGGTTGGCTCGAAATTGTGTGGCTGAAGTTAATGGTGGTGATAAAAGAAGGAAAAGTGAAAGTTATTGTTAGCGGGTTTCTTGGGCTTATTTTATAGCTCTGTTTCTGACGAATCTTGACCTTGTTGTAAAAGAAGGAGCAATTCAAAGTTGCTGAAGAGAAAGAGTAAAAAGGTAGATACAGGAAGGTAAAGAAGGTAGTTGTTCATCTACCCAATGTTCATAAAAGTGAATAACTTCTTCCTGTTCACAACAGTAAATCACTTCTTTTCTCTTAGTTCCTTCCCTCTGATCAGTGAATTAGAAGAAGCAGGCTGTAGTTAGCAGGATAAAAAAGAGGCCAAGAATCTTCCTTCAGATCACTTCTTCTCTTCCTCCACACAACTTCACGTTACTTCTCAAGCTTCATCTTTTCTGCAACTCAAAACCACTCAACAAATCAACTTAACTTTCTCACTATAGCCCTAATCAGACATCATCATACCTCCCAAGCGTAAACCTGAAGCTGCCTGGAACCCGTGGTTCTTTACTTGCGACCCTCCTACTAGAAACAATTACCTGGCCATAACTCCTGTCAATGCCACAGTAAGTCGTCCCCTACTCCCTGTTAAAGGTTCATAGCCCTGATCAGACAGATCGCAACTTCCTTAGTGTGGCGAAAACTCGAGTCTCCGATCAATAGTCTCTACTGCGAAGTCCAGTTTGCCGATGAAATTCAGAATGGTCAGACTCGCAAGAAAGTTGCTCAGGCCTTCTGGCAGGCTATTGCAAGAGGCAATGTCCTTCAAGTCCTCCAAGATCATACCAAGACTGGCTTGTTCAAGCGTCGCGTTTTCGTCTATGCCGGTTATCAGGGTGCTTTTGGATCCCTGGCTTGGAAGCTTGCTAGTCGCATGCAGGCTGGCGCCGCCTTGGCTGTCCATGGCCTTGGTGGTCGCAATGCTGTCCCTTGCGAATGCTGCGAAAAGGGTTGGCAGGCTGTCCGGGCTGGGCCTGATCAGGTCGCCTGTTTCGTCCCCTTCTAGGAATACGTCTCCCTTCCTAACGAATTCGGCAATGCATGCTCCAATTGCCTTTACCACGAGACTCAAGTCCAATGCTGCTATCAAACAAGGACTTTTACCAGGAGTTTGGATACATGGGTCGGGTAAAGGGCACCAAAGAGCGAAGAGCCAGCGGCGGTGGCGTCCCCTTAAGCATTCCTAACAATATCTCTTCTATCGATTCCACGCAGTTCTTTCAGTCTGACCTTATGAAACTTATCAAGGATCAGTATAAGGGGCTTTCTAAGAAGGAGAGAAAGTCGCCTGGTATCTTGGATGGCTTTATCTGGGTGCAGGATAGTATTGACTGGAAGACGGAGGGTGATGATGAGGATTTGGACTAGGGATATAGGGTTGTCTGATGACTTGGTGGTTTGGGCTTAGGATTTAGGGTGATTCTGGGATGTTTCTAGGTCTGATCAGGCGTTTCCTTTCCCAGATAACCTCGTTCCCAAGTTTATTGATGAATGCAATAAGGGTTCTGAATTAATGAACTTTTCGTGAAAGGAAATGCGTACAAAATGTTATGGAAATGACAGTGCGATGTAGACAATAATAAAGGAAAATGAAAGGATATGATAGCAGGCCTGATCAGGCTTGTTGTGTCATGTCAGTATACTGTGCGTCCTTTGCCGAGTCCTTGGGTTGGATGTCAATCGCAAGTCTGGACGATGACTTCCAATGCTCTAGTTCTCTGCGGAGCGTGTCGTTTTCTTTTTCGAGGCGTAGCTGTTGAAGCCTCGATCGTGTCTGCATGATGTCTTCGTCCTGATCAGGGCTAGGAGCCATGTCTGCTTCCCAAAGTTCGTCTTGGTGGTCCTGGGCTGGGAAGAAGGGGGTTATTTCGTCTTTGAGCTTGGCTTTGGCCCACGCAGGATCCTCCAATTCCCAGAAACCGGCGTCGTTCTCGATATACCTCTTGAGACGTTTCCCAGCGTATGTGGCCCTCGTGATAAGGTCACCAGCAAGCGTCTCTAGGCGGTACGATGCCGAGTTCTCAGACACAGAGTAGACTCGTAAAGGGCCTTGCCAACGGTATGTAAGTTTCCTAGCTTTCGATTTGTCGATTACGCGTTTCTCGTCAAAGACAAGAACTAAATCGCCAGGCTGAAGCTTCTCTGACCGCATTGTGTGTTGATAGCGCGCGTTATAGTAATCCGCAGATTTCTGTCTCGCAAGAGCCACATTCTTAGCTGCAGTCTCCCTATCGATTTCAAGTTGTTCAAAGGAGCGTATCCTGGCAGCGAGTTCCTGATCAGGGTCACAAACTCGTCCCCAGTCTAATACTCTCCAAGTTAAGGTAGATTCTTCGATGGGTGTGATCGCTTCGTATCCTGTAGTTAGGAAGAAAGGTGTGTAGCCCGTTGGTGCGCGGACTGTCGTTCGGTCTGCAAACAGCGTAGTAGGCACAATCTTCCCCCAATCTCTTTTTCCTCCGTCTGACCAGGTCAAGATGGTGTGCGCAATGGGTTTATGGCCTTGTTCATTGACCCCGTTCGCCTTTGAGTTATACGCTGATATAACCCTTTTTCTGATACCATACTTTTCATTCAGGCGGTCCACAGTCCCTTTGTTTTCTGGTCCGCCGTCGACAATCATCTCTCCACAGACACCGTGGCGGCAGAAAAAGTCTTCCCAGATGAAGTCGGCGACCTGATCAGAGGTGACAGTCCTTACCCTCCTTGCTTCGGGCCAACCTGTCATATCACAACGTCCCTCGATCAGTGCCCAGGAACCAATCCACTGGACATCAATAGATATCTTCGTAAACGGTAATTCCCCTGGGACTGTACCGATGTGCCAGTCGTCCATCCGGGTTGATCGAGCCTTCTGACAGGCTGGGCATGACGCGAGCTGGGCCTGCACCCTCCGGTACATATCTTTCCAGATATAGGATACAGAAAGTCGATGGAATGTTGCATCGCGTCCCGGTGTCCTGATTCGACGTGTGCGTTCCTGATCAGGTTCTCCTGAATCTTTGGGTCGTCAATAAGGCGTCTAGGGATCGGGATCTCTTTGTTGGTCGACGGTATAAATAGCCATCTCGAGCAAGATAACACCAGGCCTCTATTTTGAACTTCCTGAAAGTATGCTGTGATATTCCATCTAGGCGTAATAGTGTCTTTAGATGGAAGATGATTTGTCTCGTTCGGTCAGTCCAGTACTGATCAGGGCGGAGCCATGCTTCAGGGAGTTGATGCAGGTGAGAGGTCTTTGAAATGCCGGATTTGGATCCTCCGAATGATTCGTGCAGTCGAACAAAGTAGAGGTTAGCGTCGATGAAATCTTCAACCTGATCAGGGCTCTCGTATTCCTCGATATCGGACAGCCCTGGTGCTTTTCGTGATAGCGCATCCGCTACCACATTCTTCGTCCCCGGTATATGCTTGACGTCAAAGTCGAAAAGACGTATCCAAGCAATCCACCTAGTGATTAGGGCGCCAGGAAGATCGTGAGACCCTCCGTTGAGCTGAGCAACTAGGACCTGTGCATCAGTTTCCAACAAAAATCTGATACCGTAGACGTAGTTTCAGAGTTTCTTCAATGTCATCAAAACCGCTCTCAATTCCAGTTTCCCAGAGTCGTATTTTAACTCAGCGCCTCTCCAGATACCACTTTCATACCTTGCCACAGCCCTCTGGGTACTGATCATCTGACTTAGTACTGCGCCCCAACCTTGCAGGCTCGCATCTGTGCTGATGACCACTAACCCAGCTTCTGGGCCATAGGATAATGAAATGATTACAGGAGAAGTTGTTAGTTTGGACTTGAGGGTATCCATAGCGTTGACCTGATCAGGCCCCCAGGTAAACGTGGCGTTCTTTTTGAGGAGTTTCTGGAAAGGCAAAGTGATCTCCGAGTATCTGTCGACCATGATCTGTAGAACCCAGTCATCCCTATAAATGACCTGACTTCACTGATGTCTTTGCATTCTTCCCATTCCTTGATCTTGATGACGTTCGCCTGATCAGGGCGGCGACCTCCAGAACCGCAGACATAGCCGACGATAATAGCCGTTCTCTGAAGCCATTGTGATTTCTTGCCAGCTATTGTGCAGCCTGCCAACTCGACATTGAAGAGCACCATGTCGACGTAGCGAATATGTTCGTAGATGTAGCGTCGAATGCCGGCCTGATCAGGGAGCTCCTCATCGTTGTACGTGGTTGTAGGCCCTTTGATGACGATATCATCAAGAAAAGCCCGGCAACAATGTGGTATAAGGTCATAGAGTATCCGGGTGATAACTCTCATGAACTGTGCCACAGAATTGGTACCACCTTACGGTAAGGTGCACATGCGTAGAAGTCCAAGGGGAGTAGCAAACGTTGTTAAATCCCTGCTTTCCTCAGCTAGAGGGACTTGGTCGTATCCAGAGAAGAAGTCCAAGAGTGAGAGAATCTGGCACATGCCGAAGTCTTCTGAGAAATTCTCTGCTCCTGGAGGAGCAAAGGCATCGCGAATCGTGACCCCATTCATCCGAGTAGCTGAATTGATCAGGCGTAGGAACCATCCTTCTTCTTCACAAGAAACCAAGGGTTTCGTATAGCCCCATGACCTTCTTCTAGGATACCCTTATCGATTCGTACCCGGATAATGTCCATAGCTTGCGATTCAAGCGCTTTGGGTATTGGAATCCCTTTTCTCGCCAGGCTTTGTGAGGCACAGTCCTGATCACCTGTGGGGGGGCAACTTTCGGGTCAAGCGCGCCGTTTTCGGAGAAGTCCCAAGCGAGAGCATTTTCGCGGTTCAGAAGGACTTGGAGGAATAGGTCCTTCTCGCGGGGTAGGAGATGACCCAGTGTATCCATGATGGCCGCCAATCTGTCTGGCTTGAGGCGTGAATACGGCTCAATACTTGAATACTTAGGCCTGATCAGGCCTCGGAACGGTCCCTCATCGGGTTGCATTGTCTTTTCGGCTTCAGCCAGGTTCTTGACTTTCCAGAGGGGATCGCCGTCAGGGGTTGATCCGTCAGACGGTTGGTCGTCAACCGGATGTATCTTCTTGTCTTTTCCCTTATACATGGTGAATACCTTTGCATTCCGCTTGGCCTGATCAGGCTGGGATGATGTTTTGTCGGATCCACTCGCGGTTGTGCGGTTGCTCTGGGGTAAAGGCGTTCCCTTTTTGTTGATCATGTCGAAGTGCTTGACTATCCGCTTCCTGATTCTCTCTGCTTTAACCTTCCCAATAGTCGCTGACAACTGGTTAAGGTAAACCTTGGGACAGCAGGCCTGATCAAGACGATCGTGTCGATGTGGGGCGGGTTGGCTTTCCAACGCAGCAAGAACATCCCTTGTTGTCGTGCCTTCTAACCTTTGCTGCAGTCTTACAGACGTCCTCCACAGCTGGGGCAAGGAGTGTAGTCAGTGCTATTTTCACCAGATAATCCGATTCTTTTTCAGATAACCGGATCACTTCTTCGTCGTCCTCTTGTAGCTCATGTCCAGGAATTTTGAGCTTTCCAGCAACGGTCCTGGTACCGTTACTGGAGTCTAGTTTTCCTGGTCTTGATGCAGCTTGGTCTGATCAGGGAGATGGTCCTTGAGAGCCCTCACATAGTTGTCCCAGTCTGGCAGATAATCTAGGAACTTCCCAGGATTGCCAAACTTCAGAAATGCGGCCGGGACATGGAGACGAGTTTGCCCTGTTGTCAGTATCAGCGTGATCATGTCGGGGCCATACACGTAGTTGATCTGCGTATGGAACCCAAAAGGCGATCCCAGAAGAAGTGGTTCGTTCATCCTTCTATCGTCAGCAACGAACATGCTAGTTAAGAAACAGTGGCCTTCAACCCAGACAGGCACGATAGCTGCTCCGTCAAAGGATACACGCTCTGAATTGGGATCAAAAGCGTTCATCCCAAGCGGCGTAGTTGTAAGCTTGATAGCGTGCTTGTCTGCGTACGATCTTGAAATAACGTTGATTTGTGAACCATTGTCAATGACACCCTTGATCAAGTCGTTCTGATCAGGGCGAAGACCACCGACTCGGACGTTGATCACAAAGTGAGGCATCATAAAGTGCGGAACAATAGACTCAATGGTGGTCAAGTCAAGCGTCTTGATAAGTCTGACCTTGGCAGTTCCGCTCATAAGGTTCGGGACGTCTCTGTTATATCTGTCGATTGCCTCGCGGGCTCCTGATCTTTCGTATGGTTTCACCTCCCTGATCAGGTCAGAGGGAGCCTCTAGGTAGATGTCCGAATACCCATTGCTGTCTAGCATCTGGCGTATCGTTACCATCGCATCCTGGTTGAGCTGAGGCCAGACTCGAAGCGCAACTTCGAAGGGAATAGTAATATTCCCTCCAAATTTCTTGGCAATGGCTTGAGCAGATGCAGC